CCAGAAACGTTCTTCACACATTGTACCCATGTGGGGAATCGAACCTGGGTCTTCAGCATGATGAACGAATGCTTTAACCACTAGGCTACCCCACCGCACCTCCTGCTCTTGTAACAAACATGGGGTACTAATGACATTGATGTTCGCTGCTTTGTTGGTTGTAAAATACTGTACTCTGTGATATAACAAATATATGACAGCTGTTTCTAAATGATCAAGTTTGAACCAGATAATTCCGTGATGAACATAGTTAGATTGATCAACACAATTGATATGATACATGTAACATACATGAACCAGGTCTGTGAGCCTGGCCACCTGATCCTGTTAGCCGCCTCTTACGACAAACATAGTGCTCTCTTATAACAAGCATGGTTTGCTCAAGACAAGCATCAGCTTCAATGATCTGACATTGATAAGTTGATTATCCAGTGACATGGCCACTGATTTGGAGGTTATAAAGTGACCTTTACAGACACAGTTTTTCACAAGTGCAAAATCTGATGAATCAGCTGAACTAGATCCCCAGCTTGGTTTCAAACAGCCAAATATTCAGGACACAGAAAAGAGCATACATGGCACAACCTCTAAATCTGCCTATATTTGGTTTTAGCGAGTGAGTGAGTGAGTGAGTGAGTGAGTGAGTGAGTGAGTGAGTGAGTGAGTTTAGTTTTACGCTGCACTCAGCAATATTCCAGCTATATGGCGGCGGTCTGTAAGTAATCCAGTCTGGACCAGACAATCCAGTGATCAACAGCATGAGCATCAATCTGCGCAATTGGGAACCGATGACATCTGTCAATCAAGTCAGCGATCCTGACCACGCGATCCTGTTAGTCGCCTCTTACGACAAGCATGGGTTACTGACCAATATTCTAAACCGGACCTTCACGGGTCTTGGTTTTAGCATTGGCTTACCATCTTCATTGCTGGAGATGTTGACAGCACCATTGATCTTGACTTCAACTTCAGATCGGTTGAAGGCACATTTCTCATCTTCAGCTTCATACTTGTAATCACCCTCTGTCTCAAGGCCACCTAGGTTGGAATAATACAAACTGTATCCACAATGCTTCTTTCAGCTGTTCCAGTTTATCAACACTTTGTAAGAGATGATCGTACCATACACCTTTCCTAAGTCGTCTATACTTGAGCTAGACATTTTGTTGCACAAAGAAAATAATACCAACACTGAAGACATCACTTTCTAACAGAAACCCAATTCTACTCTCAATTTGAAGTATAGGAGAAAACACGCCCCAAGGTTTTGGTAGAGAATGTTAAACTGAGGGAGGAGAAATTTCCCTCCTCAGTCACCTCTTACGACAAGCATGGGTTACTTAACACCAATATTCTCATCTGGACCTTCACGGGTCTTGGTTTTAGCATTGGCTTACCATCTTCAGGAGGGAGGAGGTATTTCCCTCCTCCCAAGGTTTTACATTCTCTACCAAAACCGAGGGGAAGTGTTTTCCCTAACATATAAACCGTCAATGATGGATAATTATAATGAAGCAACATAACAATAACTGAAACGCAAGTAAAATCAATTTAATGACAGTATCTATTAATAGATAATTCAACCCCTACGTCTTCGTTGGCTCAGTGGCTGTGAGGTAGAGTGTCCGCTTATTAACCTGATAGCTGCGGTTCTAATCCTGCTTGAGAAAACATTTGCACTTTGAAATTGATCTTGGACAATATTTTTCAATTGATTTCAAACACTCATATATCATTTGAATGTTGATGTTCATATAGAAAAATTAATTACATAAAGTAAAACCTGGGAAGAGATCTTACTTACAAAAAGTAAAACATGGGAAGAGTCGTTACTTACAAAAAGTAAAACCTGACAGCAAACAAAAACCTCAAATGCAGTTATTCCGGGAAAACAAGAGATGCTTAATATATAGCGAGAAGCACACTTCAGGGTTATATTGAAAGTTAACCACTTACCCAGTTTCATGATAGACATGTAGGCATTAGAAGGTAGTCCACCATTACATCCCTCGTCCAGCTTGTCACAGTCAACCAGCTCTGCAAACAAAGGGACAATCAGGTTCATAGCCATGGCCACCCAATAACAAATCTCTACTGTAGTTCAACTGGAACTGTTGTCATGTCATAGTGAGTGAGAGTGAGTCGTAGCAGGGGACACCAGGCATGGGCTTCACACAGTATACCCACGTTGGGAATCGAACCGGGGTGTGACAAGTGAACGCTTTAACCACTAGGCTACCCCAGTGCCCCCTTCAACTGTATGATACTGTCTAACTCCTCAAAGCCCAAACAATAAGAGCATGGTGGCCTACAGTCTGCCTGTGTGTTTGTATGTAAGGTTACAGCGGCCCTATTCAGTTTCTGAAATTGTGTGAAGCTCCACCATTCCATCACCCTGTTACCTTGTTCTGAGAGGGATATGAGCTGTCCTTTCTTGATCTTCCATTGTCCCTCGATGTTGCCAGTGGTGGAGAAAGCCCAGCAGGACCCACACTGTCCCTGAAGACAAAACACAACAACTCTTTCCAACATGTGAAAACAGAAAAACATTTGTGACATGTGAAACTTCTCTTAACCCCCTGGATGCCTAGTTTATTTACTCACATTTTCATAAGATCTGAAAAGTGAACATTGCGGTTATGTTACAGGACAAAACAATTATGCTTCTCTATGACATCAAATGATGACAGAGAGGTTGGGGAGAAAACTCCGCTATGCCTTGCGCTAGGTTATTATTACAAAGGTCACTTGGAGAGAGCTTGCTGAGGATAAGGACACTATAACTTTATGATGTTTTGTTAATGGTGAACCAAACATCTACAATGAAAAGATCCACACTTTAACCATATACATTTTGACAGTATCACAAATTCTAAGAAACGATTAAGAGATCACGAGAAAGGATGTAATAGCCATTCTAAAGTGTAAATTAATTCTTACTTCCCATATTCTCCTGTTTATGAAGATGTATTTTGACAGAAAGTAACAGGCATCTCATGACCCGCCTTTGCGAAACATTTTGACAAATTTATCTAAAAAGCTGTTAAACATATTTTCCAAAACATACCACCCTATTGTAGGTTTATTGGCAACATTTCAGAATTGATTTGATGAAAGACAGATAACAGTGATCACTAATATGCTGTTTTGTTGATCACTGGATTGTCTGGTCCAGACTTGACTATTTACAGACCGCCGCCATATAGTTGGAATATTGCTAAGTGCGGCGTAAAACTAAACTCACTAACTCACCTGTCAAAATGTTCATAACTTACGAACATGTAATAAGATATTTTCCATGATCATTACCCGTATCATTTGGAGTGAGTGAGTCAGTGTTCTGTGCCCAAATTACAAATATGATAGTCTGGAACATGCTGAGATTTGTTACATCTGAATGTTACACAGATAAATAGAAGTAAGTCCTACCTGTTGACTGGTAATTGTCATATTTTTTGTATGATTTGTTTCAAGTTAATTTCTGTCCCGTTGTTCAGTGCTGTTGGCGCAATACTCTTCCCAAATGACACAAGAATCCAAAGAGATTCGGTACAATCAACACAAGATTGTTTTCATCCTGAAGACTTATGGTGGGTATGTCCTATCCTCAATTTTACTCCTAGGTGATGTCCTACCTGAGATGAGGAAAGAATTACCTGGTTCTTTACAGGTGTAACAGCACCTTTATCTCTCCAGTCAAAGGCCTTGGGGGCAGTACCACTGGGGATTTTGGCTTTGTTCATAATAGACGCTCCATGGTTGGTCATCTTGTTCCATGTTGTCTTGCTTAGGTACTTCTGTTTGAATTCCTCCTCTGCCAATGGTGGATAATACAGAAGATATAATGCATACTACTGGAAAACAAGGATAAGTTGGACCAGCACAGAGAACGCATTTACAAGAAGTAGGCAGTGCACGGCAATGAGCAAACTCATTTGGTTTGTGAAAGGTAGAGCAGGTGTAGGCTACTGGATGTGCAGTGCATGATGATGAAATTGATTCCGTGCGTAGCTGCTCACACCTTGCTCAGAAGACTCTCATGTGGTCGGTGTAGCAAGTCGGACAACCTGGGACCCCTTCGCTCACAATGGCAAGCGCCAGTGTGCGGAACTCATACATGCTAATACGGACCAATTGTCAGGTCTGTGCTTAACTTATCCTTGTTTGCCAGTAATACAACATAAATACTGTACTAAACTGAATATGGTTTGTCAGCAATATTCCAGCTATATCAATAAAAGATCATGTTGTTGCGCAAGAAACCAGCATATATGAAAGCAATCAATCCTAGCTTTTTAGACCAAAGGAAACACACTCAGTCAAGTCTTGGGCTTGGCTCCCAGAGTCTCTCCTATCGCTCTTTAGGTTCTCTGGACCTTTGTTACCATAGTGCACACACATTTTAATAATCAATTTGGATGGAACTGATTCTTACGTGTAAGGTCTGCAAATTTGGTAGCACCATATACTGCTGTTCCTAATTCAGTCTCATTCAGCTTACGAGCAATTTTCATGTTGTCACAGAAGATGGCAAATCTCTTGGCCTCCTCTGAAATATTAATAAAAAATCAAATACATCTGAGTATCTAACAGTTGAAAGAAAAGACATAATGAGGAGAAACAAGTAACCAAAGACGTTTACCATATACACATGATTTGGTAGGGCTGAATGAAAAATAACAGAGCTTTGTTTAATTTTAGTTTCTAAAACATCTCTTTTCTGCTGTCATCATGTACAGCTGTATTCCTGTTATATCACTGCAGTGTGTAAATAACCGAGTCTTGGCCAGACAAAACGATGGCTGAACACAACCACTCTTCTGAATATATTTCTGCCTTCTAATGCACTATTTAATGCTTTTACATCTAAAGAGATTGATCCCTACCGTCTTCAGTATTGTAGACCTTTCCATGTTTGATCATGAAGTCCTTGAAGTGTCCTCCATGACAGAGGTCATGACCATCTCCTCCTAGAAAGTTGCCCTCCAATCAGAGGCTTCCTCCCCATGTTTCTGAAAGTCATGGTCGTCTCCTCCAATCAGAGGCTTCGTCTCCCCATGTTTCTGAAAGTCATGGTCATCTCCTCCAATCAGAGGCTTCGTCTCCCCATGTTTCTGAAAGTCGTGGTCATCTCCTCCAATCAGAGGCTTCGTCTCCCCATGTTTCTGAAAGTCATGGTCATCTCCTCCAATCAGAGGCTTCGTCTCCCCATGTTTCTGAAAGTCATGGTCATCTCCTCCAATCAGAGGCTTTGTCTCCCCATGTTTCTGAAAGTCGTGGTCGTCTCCTCCAACTGCATGTTTAAACGCTCCCAGTAATCCAGTCCCAATATGCTCCAGCAGAGGATGAAGGTCATCAGGTACATAATCTTTCTTCTGACGTTTCAATAAAATCTTATTGGTCAACACTTGTGCTTTGTCCTGGTTGGGGAGACCAAATAATGGGAGTGTCTTGTCAGGTCCAAAAAGTTCCTCTAGCCTTGGAGTCTTGTGCTTACTAAGGAGGTCCTTCAGCTTACTGGAAAGGTCATCCTTGAGTTGTGGCAGTGAGTTGCTCAGCTTGACACCGGCCAACATAGGTTTCATGAGTTCATCAATCTTTGGAAGTTGGTTGGAAACAGGAGGTGGAACTGGCGTAGGTGCTGGGTCTTTCTGTTGAGAGAAATCACAATTGAGACTATGGCCATCTTGTTGCACTAAACAAGGTATAAAAGGTCTACTCAAATACAAATAGTGGAACATGAAGTGGAACATATATACTAGTCATATCACAATTAATTACTGTGTGTGATCAAAATCAAAAGTGTGTGATAAATAACAAAAGAGTCCCTATTGATCTTCAATCAAACATCTCTGAATGGACACATCTATGAATATAACACATGAAGAGACAGGAGCAGGAAAGTACAACTTCACCTACATCTTTACATCGGCAAATATTTTCAATAGGGTCCATGTTTCATTATTTTGTTTACAAGTATTAATGCACTTCATTAGGTATGACTTGCTCTATTACAAAAAAATCTTGACTATTGATAACATCATCTCGACAAGGCACAGATGCAAGTGACATGAAACGCTGAACCTGATAGGTCGATAGGATTGGCACAGAAGGGACATTACTCTAGTGGTGGAAATTCGATTGAGTCCGGAAATTCCAGCTTACTTTGGCACAATGGGAAAATAGGCCTTTGTCATCATTTAACTCACTTACTTAAAGAGTAAAGATGATCAAATAACATAATGATATATATACAGCATAGCAGATACTCAAAATGTCACTTACGTTTTCATCAGGTCAGAGTTCAACCCCACCACAAAGCACATTAGAATTGTGGTTTTTCATACTGTAGTGAATGATATGGAAGTTAAGGAAACTTGACCCTTTGGAGTCAGGATGCACAAAAGCTAAAACCATACATTTTTTACCCCTGTTTTGATAAGTAGCTCAAAGATAAGCTTGCATAGTTTCATTCATGAAACTTAAGTAATTTCTGAGAAAACTTGTCCCCATGGCAGACACAATACACCAACTAACATGGATCAAGGTCTGTAGCAGTGGAACCTCAATTCATGGCACCAATTTTTGACCCAGTTATGACAAGTGGACAAGCATCTCTTCAGTAGACTGAGAAAATCTGTCCCTATATTCCCTCACTATTCACTAAGCATGGAGCAAGTGCCTAACTTTGTTAAAATTATATGACAACACAAATTTTATAACTCATGAGATCCGGACTAGTAACATCATTCTGATAGATTTTATTTCTCTAACTTAAGTGTTCAACAAAATGGTCTCCATAAAGAAGCAGATGGGAAGACAGCTGGACAAACTCTGCCCAGTGCAATAAAAGCTGGTCAAATCTGAAAATGCATCTTCCATTCATTTTGGGGGAATAAAATGACATATCAGGATAAAAAATTAAAAAATAATATCCATTTATTGATACAGAGTATACCATGGAAAAAAATCAGAAAAATTGAGGAAATTGGAAATTTTAAATATAAATTGTTAATTATATACTTATCCTATCTCACGGTATCTCACAGTATGCACTTCTCTCTCTTGATTCGACACTGAGTGGAATGATGTAAACTTTTTTCCCTTGGCCTCTCTTGTCCATCCGCCCAAGCACTCCATGCTACCCTCATTATAAGACAGCTTCCTAGTTGTCATGCAAAGCATGCGGCATGCACCACTATCTCCGAATCATCATTCTCAATCTTGGAGCCACTGGAATGTCAATCTTGGAGAATCTGCGTAGCGGGGAGGATGGGCGGGAATCCGTCGCGTGAGATAGGATAAGTATATAAATATACAATTTATAATTAAATTTTCCAAATTTTTAAACTTATCCTATCTCACGGTATGCACTTATCCCACGGTTGGACGGCGGGACGCAGATACCCTGTGTCTTGTCAGTGCGAACAGTAGACTGGAAACAACAGTAGATAGCGATGCACAAGGGAGGCCTGTTATGACTAGCGCAACTCTTACGCTTGTGACAAGTTCCTCTGAACTCCTTGGCTTACTAAGCACAACGTCTCCCAGGGAGATGGGTGCTCCCGAGCGATGTGGTGTTCGGCCGCAACCTCCGGAGAAGGACGCAGCTCAGCGAGAGAGGATGTCACTTCACCATGATTTTCAAGGTACCACCATAAATTAAAGTCATTGACAATAATTGGGCCAGCCCCTGCTTCGAGAAGACCCCCACAAACACCGACCAGGGGCAGGTGAAAGAGAAGCACAACTCGGAAAACTCGCAGTTTTAACGTTCAGTTCCAGTCAACATCAAATTGACCCTCACTTCTTTACAAAAGCTTAGTCAAAGGATGAGCCTGGCAACTTCGGAGTCGGAACGCAACGAAATCCACTGGGAGTGACACACTTCACTGATGTATTTGCTTTGAAAAGTAGGGGTCAGGAAACGTGAAATGACGAACCCTTCCACATCGATACAGAATATCGAGCTCCAGATTCGTCCAACCACCGAGGTGGTAGTATCTCCGTGTCTTAGTATAAAACTTTGTAAAGTAGTTCTAACCCATAGGCAATCAAAACATAAGACAGACATCAAGTTCAGACTTATATTCAGGAAAGTACAGGGAAGCAGCAACCGCGTGGGACTGTCCCCTATCTGCGTTGTTGGGCCGTAGACAGCTGTTGTGCGAGAACAAGGGGTCCAATCTGGTACAGGCCGTGGACGTCCTTGACTGTGAGGTCCCGAAGGCAGTGGGAGGAGAAGACCGAGTGAGATCGCCAGAAGCATCCTTCCATAATGGCGTGGAGAGAGCAGTTACTATGCAGAGCCATCGTAGATGCTAACGCCCGTGTCTCATGTGGATTAGAAGCTGTCGGGGACGGTAACCCAACGAAGGTGTAAGCCCGTAGGATGGTGGCTCTCATCCAGAAGGATAATGTGGTGCGAGACACTTCCGCCCTGGATGTTGAGGACAACGGAATGGAGAGGTGTTTGAGGAGACGGCGGCGATCTTTAGAAGCAGCAAGAAAAATCTTCAAAGCCCTAACAGGGCAAAGCTGCAGGTCTTCATTGTCATGCGCCCAAGGATCATGGACAATGGTGGGATGGTAAAAGTACGATCGGGTTGTCCCAGCAAATGATTCTTCACTACGAAATCCCAACGAAGACCGAGGAAGACTTTGCCATGCTTCTTCCATTCAAACTGGACTCTGTTAACGTCCAAAGCGTGGAGTTCAGAAATCCGAGCAGCTGTAGCCAAGGCCACAAGGAAAAAGGTCTTGAAGGAGATCTTCTGAGCTAAGGGTTCATAGTTCACCAAGGCCAAATGAAGCAGCACCACAGATAAATCCCATGCAGGAGGTCTAAACCCTTGAGCTTCTTAGACGACCGCAAATGCTGAAGAAATTCAGCGACTATTTGAGGTGAAGTAGAAATGGGAGATGTAATGCCTCTGGACGTGCAATATCCCTCAAAACACAGGGATATGTGGCACTGATCCGAGTGAGGGTGTAACAGTAGGTCATCCCAATCGGGAAGAGGAACTGGGTTTAGGGCTGCGAGCTGTGCGAGATCAACAAACCAACACCTGGCCAGTAAGGTGCGACCAAAAGCAGTAGACTCTGTCTGGTCGCCCGGAGTTTCTGGATGACTCTAGGTAGAAGAGCCAAAGGGGGGAAGGCGTAAGCGTTGAGCCCCTCACATGAAATCGCCAGAGCGTTGACATCTCACGCTAGTTGGTCTGGAATCGGTGAGACAAACTTTCGGAGCTGATGGTTGAACCATGTGGCGAATAGGTCAACTTGGGACCTTGATAACGGGAAGACCAGTTCCCGAAAGGTCTGTGGGTTTAATTGCCACTCCGTGGGAGACGGACGATTGGAGCAGGACAGCGCGTCTGCGATGACAATCCTGACTCCAGGAATGTATCTGGCTCGGGCATCAATGGTGAGGGAGTCGATTAGATGGAAGAACCAAAGCGCCAGCTGAAGAAGGTTCGCCGAACCTGTCAACCCGAGATGGTTGATGTACTAGATGGCTGTGGTGTTTTCTGTCTGAATCAGCAGGGAAGACTCCAGAAGTTCCATCGCCCAATGTCGGAAGGCGAGAAGAACCGCCAAGAACTTGAGTTCGTTGATGTGCAAGTCCCCTTCTGCGGACGACCACAGTCCGGCCGTCTGATGATGAAGAAAGTGAGCCCCCGACCCGTGAGGGATGCGTCGAGGAACAATGATGAGTCGACATGAAGGACAACATTCTGCTCGTCTAGCACGGCTGAAGCTGAAGCTACCGTCTGGTAGTTGGGGCTTGAGCTGACGTCAGAAAGCCTAGCAGCTGCCACTGAGATAGCACTGGAGGAATGCATTGCGGGGTCATGAGGCACCTGTCTTGAAGGGCGAACATCCTCCTCTGACAGGTGTGGAACAATGTATCGATGACGTGGAGTCTCTGGATCGATGTTAGCTTCAATACAGCAATGTACACTAGCCATCCTAACTGCCAGAGCAGGATGGTGGTGAACTACAGTTAGCGGCGAAGTACTATCAGATCCTGTTGTGCCTGGATGTGCAATCATCAATGTAGCTTCGAAGATGACTGACTGACTGACTGAGCTTGGTTTTATGCCGCTTTTAGCAATATTCCAGCAATATCACGGCAGGGGACACCAGAAATGGGCTTCACACATTGTAAGCTTCGAAAATGAAGTTGACTTCTGTAAGTGAAGGCTTGAGCTTTGGTGAGGAGACCCGGCAACTCTTGCCACTGATGAAGGGGTATCTCCTGACAGAGTGCTGAATGTGGTAGATTTGGCAAAATGGAGATTGTCAGTCAATCTATAGGAATGTGTACATTGTAAACGGGTGATAAAGGTCGTACGATCGGCAATCTGTGTGAACATTAGTTCACCAAATGAAGTGTTGGTCCGCTGGATGGAGTGATAAATGTAGTAGACTAGATGCATGGGGATCGTGAATCTATCTACCGGAATGTTCGCAAAGTTGTTGGAATGACGACAGTAAAAGAAGACCGGCGACCCCAGGAACATTTGTTGGGAAGACGAAGGCCTGGGGACTGCAGTGACCTCTGAATGGAGGGTTTGGGCTAAAGTAGAAAACCCGAGTAACCCAAGTTGAAGAGTTCTGGGACGTTTCTGTCTAACACCCTTGGTATGCTGTCTCTCTCGGCTGGCTGACAAATCCCAACATAATCACTCTTACCGGGAATGGCACCGTTCATCGTCACTGGCGATTAAAGGCTGGGGTTATCATCAGCTGTGTAGGACCAAGACAATTCTGTCAGTGCACTTCAAAGTCACTCTCAACATCACAATTCTCCGACCGGGGTCGGTTTGGTGATCTGGATCGGCGAGGTAAGTTCTGGAACGGTACTGTGATCTGGTTCTGATGCGGGGAATCGGTTCTGCCTGATGAACTGGTTCGATGATGAGGTTCAGATCGGTCTGCCAAACTAGTACGGGGATGTTGTTGTTCAGACGAACGAGATGAGCCATTCCTTGCTGCAAAAACAGTTCGGCCATGTCGCGGCAAACCAGCCTGCAGGAATGGCGGCAGACCAGCCTCTTGATACACGGATAAGTTCGGCAAACCATGACGGGAAAACAGGACGATCTGTCTGGGAGACATCCCTGACAAGTAGGGTAATTTCTGATGAACCAGTAGGCCGGGAATCTTCCATGTTGGAAGTTGTACGAGACAACACTGGGGATTCGCCGTAAAATGGATTTGATAGATGTGGGCGAAACGAGATTTCGAGCAGGTCGTCTTGGCAAGAAAATCTGAAGATTGGTAGGCGGTTGATGCCAGCGGTTGGGTGAACCATGTTTCTTCGACGAAGAAGAAAACTAGGAGAGTTCAGTGCATCACCAAGAGATGTACGATCTGGCGAAAAGCGTTCGTAGAAAGCTGATTCGTGGGATGCCGTTTTGGTGAATGTTGATTCGTGGAATGCCGTTTCGGTGAAATCTTCCGTTTCGGCGAACTTTGTTTCCATGAAATTCGATTAGGTAAAATCTGTTTAGCAGACGATCGATCCGGAGAATGCTGACGAGTAGACTGACGTTTCGATGAAGACCGGTTCGGTGAGAGCTGTTTCGTAAAGAGCCAGTCTAAGTTTGGGGAAGGTGGACAGTCCGGCGAAAGTCGAGGTGGAGGGAAGCGGACAGGCGAAGCATGATCCGGCGAACTGTGATTCTAACTGGCAGGCTTCGGGGTTCAGAAGACCGAGATAGCTGGACGCAAGAAACAGCATTTCTATTCGCCGAATGGGAAGGAGACAGGGATCTAACCACTGACAGGTGTTGAGGCAAGGTAGGCTGGTTCCTCTCACTACTGGACGAACGACGAGAGCGAGAACGGCTTCTGTGCATGCGCTCTGCGCAGTCAGGTGTAGAGATCAGCTGATTCTTGTCCGAAACAGATTGCCAGGTTGCGAGATAACTGGTCCGGAGAACGAGAGACAGAGAGCGTAGTTCGAAGGTCCCGCTGTGTAGAGGTATCCTTAGGGGTGGTAGCACGCTCGACAACCACTACCAAGGACGTGGTCGAAGACGAAGGACTTGGGCTGGAAAGTTGAGAGCCCAACAAATTCCTAAGGTCTTCCGATAAGTAAGAGTCCGACTAAGCTCTCATGAAATCCTCTTCATTCGAGGGAGGGGACTGTAACTGCCGAGCACACAAAAGAGGACGCTTAAACTTTCCTTTCTTGGTGGGACTGGGTCCGTCAAGTGACGCGGCATAACGAGCTCTGTCAGTAACACGACAAGCGCAAGCCTGAGTGTAGTCACCAACAAAGCAAAAGACGTTCACACTCAAGTGCGACAAGAAAGAGAATGATGATTCGGAGATAGTCACGTGGGTAGCTAGTGGTGCATGCCGCATGCTTTGCATGACAACTAGGAAGCTGTCTTCTAATGAGGGTAGCATGGAGTGCTTGGGCGGATGCACAAGAGAGGCCAAGGGAAAACAGTTTACATCGTTCCACTCAGTGTCGAATCAAGAGAGAGAAGTGCATACCGTGAGATAGGATAAGTTTAAAAATTTGTATTTTCAACATCGCAGCTATGTTGAGGTGACCTTAACTAGGCCAATTCCAAAATGTTCCTAAACTTGCCTGTTCTCCGCATTCCTCTGACTCCAGTTTGTACTGTGGTTTCTTCCAGGCCTGGTACCACACCTTGTAGCTGCACTCAGTTTTCTGAATGATAACAAATTGTGAGAAATTATAGATAATTTTGCATGTTTTCTTTCCTTTTTGTCATAATTCTGACAGTGACAGCTGAAAGAAAAGGTAACAAAGACGAGACATTCACAGCATTAAGATTGTTTCCGCAAATTGCAGGGGATTGGCAGAAAAACAAAAGAGATGTGAGATAATGAATATATGGAGAAAATGTAAAGTTTCAATTATATGTCTACAGGATATCCATATTTCTGAAAAAGATGAAAACATCATGAGAAATGAGTGGGGAATCAAAAGTATCATAGCTCCTTTCAGCATGAATTCGAAAGGCGTGGCAATATTATTTAATAATGACGTAGAAATTGATATACATAAATTTAAGAAAGACATCAATGGTAATGATATAACTGTAGACACCAGTGTGGACGGACAAGGTTGACTTTAACTAATGTCTATGGACCAAATAAGGATGATCCAGCATTCTATAACACCCTTTTTAAAGAAATTGATGAATTTGAAAATGAATCAATGGTGCTGTGTGGTGACTGGAATTTAGTTATGGATCCAACCATCGATTTAGAGAACTATAAACATGTAAATAATCCTAATGCAAGGAAAATAATCATGGAGAAGGTTGATGAATTAAATCTTGTGGATTACTGGCGTGACCTCAATATTGATACAAGGAAATATACCTGGTGGAAAAAGAATCCTAGGCAGCAAGCCAGACTTGATTTTTTTTTTTTTCTAATGTAACTGTAGACTCTGCAGTTCTACCAGGATATAAATCTGATCATTCAGCTGTTACTTTAGCCTTCTCTTCAGACAGCAAGTCTAGAGGAAAGGGCTATTGGAAGTTTAACACATCGCTCTTGAGAGACAAGGAATATGTTAAACTTGTTAAAAATTAAATCGAGGCAACTAAAAGACAATATGTAATGAACCCTCAAACTAATGACATGAACGATATCGATAATGATTTGAAACTAAGCATAGATGATTGTCTATTCCTGGAAACTTTGTTGATGAACATTAGAGGAAAGTCTATCTCATATAGCTCCTTTTTAAAAATAGAAAGGAATGATAAAACTTTGAAACTAGAATCTAAAATTAAAGACTTGGAGGATACGATACATAGCAATTTTCAAAACATTGACAAAACCCTTCTCTGTGATCTATCCAAATACAAGATGGAGTTCGAAAAACTTAAAGAGCAAGAAATTAAAGGATTACAGATCAGAAACCTAATTCAGTGGCATGAAGAGGGAGAAAAATACTTTTGTAATCTTGAAAACAGAAATTATGTTAGTAAATCCATATGATTTTATCAACAACATTATACTAGCTGGTAAAAGATTTATATTTACTTCTAGTATCAATAATAAAGTTTGACATATAGCAGAATTCATGAAGATACTACGGGATATTGTACTAGTCGAAAGATACATAGCCAGGAAAAACAACAGGATTGCCAAATTTAAAAAAAAGAAGGCCAAATAGATTAATTGTATACTTAGAGAACCTATAGTAGATCACTATCATACAACGTGTATCTCCTGTGTTATACTGTATTGTAAATGCTGTTATATCAATTTGCACTCTAACCTGCAATGTACACCTTCTGAAATGAATAAAAAGAATTAAAAAAACAAACAAGACGAGACATTTTCTAGTAAATTGGTTAGGATCAGTTAAAATGTAATACAAGAAACAGATGACAACTAATCTACTACAACTACAAGTGACAAGGGCCTGTAGCTTACCTGCATCATAAAGACACACTCCTTTAATGATCACATCCCCTAGTTATAAGTGCTAGTAAGTGCAATGTCCAGATCACTGTTGTCTGGGACTTGTTACTAAGGGTCAGTGACACTGACTAATATGCAGTTAACTGAATTAGCCTTTTCAGTCATATGGGATCAGGGGTGGAAATAACCCATTGCCCGACGTCCGAGTCCAGTGTTTTTTTCTGTTGGGCAAGCAAATTTGTATATCACACTGTACCGGTGTCCAGTTGACTTTCCAACGTTAATTATGTTGTTTATTTACAAAATCAAAAAGAAAACGACCTGTATAGTGGAAAAATTATCAGGGCAAGTGATTTTACATGTGCCACTGTACCGGAGTACACTAGCAATTTTAAAGTTATTTCCACCCCTGGGGATTACTATGAGAGGACCATTTTTTTGGGCTGTGGCTATCACTGGATATACATTGGTTTACCATTTGTTTCGATATAATTATACAGAATATGAAAAAAAATAGTGCCACTGTACACTAGTTCACCTGGGTATGTAGTTAACAGCTTAAAATGTCTTTAAAACTTGCCACCCACCTGACTCTGCTAATCCAAAATTCTAAAAGCATAAAAGTTATCATCTGAATACTGGATTGATAAATGAGGAATCACAAGTGCCTTTTTTGTATTTTGCTGTCATAGCCAGAAACAATTAATGTTTCAAAAACTCCTATATATATGTAAATAGCCAAAATCCATGGTAAGGCTGAAATCTGTGCATCACACATTACATTTGGGATTGCACTTTCTCCGTAAAGTACAGATTCTAGTATTTTTGTTTTGAACCCACAATCTAAGAGTCAGGCAATTAAAGTCGGTCATCTAACCCACTCAGCCACCGCCACTTTCACAAAAATGGAAGTCAGACAACTGGTAGGCTAGATCACAGACTTTGTGTACCCCTCTAACAAGTGTGAATTGACATGGTTCTGACAGCCAAAAGGACTAGAATCTGTACCGTAAACATGACAATGGAAGACAAATGATAAAAACAGTATTCTGCAAAAAACAGAACATACCATGCCCCACAAATAACTACACACTTGCCAAATTTCAATGCAATTTCAGAAAAGATGTGTGAGACACAACAGCCTTGTAATTCAGCTCGAGTTACAACTTTAATAGGTTTATAAGCATTGTTGTTCCAGAGTGGTTGTTTAAGATACAAAAGACTGACGACGGCTAGGATATTAGCTCACTTAAATCGGTTGTGTTATAAAAAAACCTTAATAAAACAACTATACCGAAACACTTTGAAAACACAATTTTTTCAATATTTTTTCAATATCTGACAAAATGGCATGAGGTAATCACACAATACATCATTGTTATTCTGGTTAGAATCTCATACAGTGTTTGTGGAGAGGCATCACGTCTTATTAAAGTTAAAGCTGATGAGTCATGTTCATGGTATTTCAGTATATTACTGTTTTGATGAGCTACAAGATCCTCCTACCAAAGGATTGTCGGCCACAGCACAATCCTCCAGTCCCTTGCCCTTGTTGGTGTCACTGTTCAAGCACTTGGTGTCCACCATGTTCACAGTGAATGTGTACAAGACTCCAGAGACAACCTGAAAACAGACTTCATTGTAATGCAATACATCTTACCGAGAACCACATTAAGTTCATGAAGACTGCTAAAGGTTCAAGAAATTGTAATGACGAAAGAACTTTTTCAAAACCTTCTATGGAAAGATGAACCCTTGATTATTAATATTAAGCCCATGACTATTTTGAAAACTTCAAAAAAATATGCTTTACAAAGAAGTAAATATCATCCGATTTTTTACAGATGACTATAGTTAATCTATGATGACATGACATAATAAATATAGCAGGGTGCAATTTAAAAAAAAAAAAATCAGTACCCGCACCCCGGTGGTTTAAATCACTGTTTGGACAATAATTTAACAAAATAGAAATCTCGACTTTTGCAATCGTATATTGTTCTTAGATGTTAATATTGTTATGATTAACATATATTTCATATTTAAATGAAATCGGTGAAGAAAATGAAAATTGAAGTAAAATTGATATTTTTATACTTATCCTGACTCATGATCTTTTGCTTATCTCCCTTTCCCTTGCGAATGGTAGTGGAACACTTGAATCCCTTGAAGTGCCCAAAGCAGACGTAAAAACACACTGACCCACGAGTTACCTCCCTTTTGCCCTTTCCCGCGCAAACAGTCATGTGACCAGCCTTACTTGTCACTCTCTCCGGATTTTTCTGCCCATGCACTTGGATCTGCTGTGAAATCTGAAGGATTTCCAGCAAGGAGGTTGGGAGGGCTTCTAGTCATGAGTCAGGATAAGTATAAAAATATCAATTTTACTTGAAAATTTACATATTTTTTCTTATCCTGACTCATGATTTTTTGCTTATAGAATCCGACGGATTGGTTGTGGGTCAAGCCACTTCATGGATTCATCAGCTGTCCTTAGATACGTCCTGCATTCCCCTATGGGAAATGCGAAACGGCATTTCCGTGATCCTATTCTTCCAACTTCCGTTATAAATCGGGGGGGGGGGGGGTCTTTCTTGTCTTACTTCAGTCTCAGACAAGTTGAATCATCTTGATTCATGTGGCTACAGATAAACTAGTATCTTCTTATTATTAGATATCTTATAACAACCCATAGATTATGATAAGATCTTTATCATAAATGAGTTGCGACCCCTTCACATACAGGTGAGATCTTTACCCGTAGAGTATCTTTAATCACTCATGCTAGCCTGTCCTCGACTGCGCATGGACTTTCCAACTAATACTTTTCCTTAGTATAAGTTATCAACAAGTCAGCGTGATTAAGGGCGAGATTTTCCAACTCAGCGCCTTTGAGGAACCGTTAGTTGCTGTGCTACAACGAGAGGCCCAATTTGGTGAATGCCTGAGACGTCTTCAGTGGCTATGTCTCGGAGGTAGTGGTTGGCAAACACCGAGTCTGACTTCCAAAAGCAGCCCTCCATAATTGCAGATATAGAGCAATTTCCTTGCAGAGCCAGTGTTGACGCCAGTGCTCTGACTTCATGTGGGTTGGAAGCTCTAGGAGGTTCTAGTTCTGCTGCTTTATAGGCTCTCAATATGACGGCTCTCATCCAGAACGATATTGTCGTTCTTGAGACTTCTGCTGATGTCTCTGTGGATAATGGGATGAACAGGCGCTTGAATTTTCGTCTCCATGTCTTAGTCTTTTGAAAATATATATCTTCAGGGCTCTGACCTGACACAAGGATAAGTCCTCTATATCCTCTGGTCAGAGGATTGTAGATAGCGCTGGTACGTGGAACTGTTTAACTGGCTGGCCAGGTAGTTGGTTCTTGGCAATGAAGTCCTATCTAAGTCCTAGATTAACTGCAGCATGTTGCCACGTGTCGAATCTGGTTCGACCAAAGTCCAGCGCATGTATCTCTGATATTCGAGGTGCCGTGGCTAGCACAAGCAGGAACAGAGTCTTCTGTGTCAGCAGCTCGAGGGTAGTTTGGTCTAGAGGTTCATAGGCATCACTAATAAGATGACATAGAATTACATTCAGATCCCAGGCTGGAGCTCTGAACTTCTTGTGCTGGTCCTCCAGTTTAAAAGATCTCAGCAGAGCAAGTAATTCTGGTACTTTCGTCAACTTGATACCTGTTTTCACTGTACTGATGGCAGTGAGGTATGTAGATAATGTCAAACCTTTCAGATGTCTGGTCTGTCTAAGATGACACAGGTATTCCGCCACTTGAGGATGAGTTGCTTTCATCGCAATGAAGCCTTTCCGCCTTGCATAAGTCTCAAACTTCATACAGGTTACGAGTAGATCTGCGTAACGCTAGCGTTACTGCCTTGGCTGTCCTGGTGGAGTATCCTCTTTTCTTCAAACATGTTTTGATACGGTCCACACGTGTAGCTGGAACGCCGTCGGGGTTCCTGTGGACTTGCTTGGTGTGTGGATGTATGAGTAGGTTCGGCCATTCTGGTAACTTGATTGTTGGACTTCCGAGATCTTCTATTAAGTCTAGGAACCATACCCTCGCTGGCCAGTATGGTGCGACCAAAGTTAGCGCCTGTGTCTGTTTGATCTTCAACAGTACTTCCGGTAGTAATATCGGGGGTGGAAATACGTAAGCGTTTAGTCGTTCCCAAGATATGCTCAGTGCATCTGTTGCCCAGGCTTGAGGATCTGGAACTGGTTAGACAAACGTCTGTAGTTGTTTGTTGAACCTCGTGGAGAACAGGTCTATGCAAGGGGATCCTATTTCCCTTATGATGAGCCGGAACACTTCTGGATGGAGCATCCATTCCGTAGGTGACAGGTGCAGTGGTTGGGAGAGAGTGTCTGCAAGTACGTTCTTGGCTCCGGGTATGTGACACGCCTTTATCCAGATGTTTGCTTCCTTCGTGATGTGGAACAACTGGAATGTGAGCTGGAAGAGGCTTGGAGACTTTGTGGATCCTTGCCGATTTATGGAGAATGCCACTGTAGAGTTGTCCATGTGGACCATCAGTATTTTGTTGTTCAGCGAACTCGACAATAGTTGTAAGGCGTTGATCACGGCTTTCATCTCCAGTAGATTGATGTGAAGATGCTGCTCTATTTTGGACCACCTCCCTGATGCAACTTGATTGAGATGCACACCCCAGCCTTGTATCGACGCGTCTACGTATAGATGTGTGTCGAAGGCTGGCTCTTGTAAATAGGTCCCTCCGCAAACGTTTAACCTGTGAGTCCACCATAGTAAATACCTCTTGAGGTTGTCTGGCAGCAAGATTGGGTCGACACTGTCTAGATGTTTTGTCAGGAACCGTTGCAGCGCCTTTGTTGTAACCTTCCTGTGCGAGTGTAGTCCTGCGCCGAGGTTAGTAGACCAAGTAGAGCTTGCCATGATCGTAGTGTTAATGGAGAAATGACTGCTAGTTGAATCATGGCTTGTATCTTGACCCAACGATCATAAGGTTCACCAGCCATCCTAGTTGAGTGAGCAACTTGATCGTGAAGTTCAACTGTAGTATGAGTTGACTGGCACTTTGATGAACTTGAATGCCGTCGTCCAGGTAGAAGGCATTGCGTAGACCTCGATGATGTAGATATGTGACTATAGGCTAGGTTACTCGTGTGAATAGCCACGGGGCCGAAGATATTCCAAACGGTAGGACGTTCCATTGGAAGTGCTGCCCTTTTTAAATGGATCCATATGATGTAAGGGGAATCTCTTCAAATTAAACGATGGCAGATGCTGATTCTGGAATTTGGTTGCTTTCGCGAAAGCTGTGCGTAGCTTGGAGCGTATCTTGGATATAGGTTCAATTGGAGGGATAGTGACCGAGTCAAAGTTGTCATCACGCATCAAGTAAGTGTAGACTTCATCTTTATCCTTAGAAGGAGACTCCAAGTTCAACCCGTTGGCAATCCAAGCTGTAACCTCTGGGTCAGGGAAGATTAAGTCTGCTTGCTCATCCAGTATCTCCTGATTAGTAGAGCTAGACCTCCGCGGATCATCTATCTGTGAACCTGTATCCCTTCTCCAACCTCCATCATCCTTTCGCGAACCTCTGTCAGAAGATTCCTCCCTTCGCGAAAATGTCTATCTTGAGAGTCCTCTCTTCGCGAACCTCTCTATGTAGATTCATCTCTTCGCGAACCTCTGTGATGTGAGCCTTCTCTTCACGAACCCCTGTCTCATGATGAGTGACCTCGTGAACGTCTGTGAGAGATATGAGATCTCGATCTAGAGCGGCTAGGTGTAGGAGATGGATCCTTCGATGTTCTCGAACGTTGAGGGTTCGCAGATGTAGAACGGTGAGTAGCATGTCATGTCTTCTATCCTCCTCCAAGATAACAGAGTCGTCCGACTGTGGTGTACATTAGCCAACGTAGTCCTGAGACGTAGTTCTATGTGGAGTAGGTTTGCACAGGTCCATAAGTTCGCGCAGGTTTGTAGGTTTGCGCACGGTGTCAGTAGAGGAGAGGCTTCGCCGAGCCTTCGCTTCTTCTTCGAACCTCCATTCCATCATAGCCATCATCTGGTTGGTGAATTGTCTCATAAATTCACCTGGATCAAAGTTCTGCGTTGATTGAAGTTGCTGCGGTGTAGAAGAAACGTTCGCAAACGCTGATGAGTTGTGTGCCTCGACTTCACTTGGTAGTTCGTCAAACAGCTGGCCTGCTGTGACAGTTGCAGGAGACGATCTAGTAGTAAATCAACACAATAAGTACAGCTCAAGCTGGAAGAACATGGTTTTATGCACGAGAGGCATTGGGGGTGAGGATCAGCCATGGATAACCTGTGCCTGCAAACACTGTAAGATTTCATGAAATGTAAACAAGAGTCATCAGAAAATGACATATCCCCCCGGCCCCCACAGCTTTGATCGAACAAATCATCTGACAGTTACTTAAAGTCCAGCTTGATTTTAGACTAAGTGCAAATCGTTTCCATGGAAATCTTGGAAAACATAAATGACAAAAATCTGCAAATAGCGAAAGGCACCACTTCAAGATCTGCCTCACATATCTCTCAAGTTTTACTGAAAGATATTAAGAAGTTTTCGCGTTGTGCTCCGGAAACGAAACCTACCCCTCCCTTTTGAGACAAGTCTGAATCGTTTCCATGGAAACCGGGAAAAATAAAATGCCAAATATCTGCAAATAGCAAAAGGTACCACCTTAGATTCTGTTTGATATATCTACCAATTTTTGTTGAAAAATAGTGAACGGTTTTTGAGTTATGCTCTGGAAACACAATATTTACGGACAGACGGAGCGTCGACTATATCCCCCCGCATTACATGCCAGGGGGATAACAAAATTACATAACGATGAAATTATGACTCAAATACAAAGATATGTTTTACAAATTTTTTTTACATATAATACAGAGTAGTTACTGCCAAATCCATACATAGCGTGATTTTGAAGAATAGGACCTAAATAAAAAGGATATAATGCTGTATAAGGGACTCCAGTGCTCGCCCAACCATCCACTTGGGCGAAAAGGGAGAGAGTGACAAGTAAGGATGGTCACATGAATGTTTGCGCGGGAAAGGGCAAAAGGGAGGTAACTCGTGGGTGAGTGTATTTTTACGCCTGCTTCGGGAACTTCAAGGATTCAAGTGTTCCACTACCATTCGCAAGGGAAAGGGAGATAAGCAACAGATCATGAGTCCGGATAAGAAAAAAATTGAATATTTTAGAAAAGTATATCGCTACACTTGCTACATAAAATACACAAGGGGTAACACTCACAATGCTAAAAACCTGATCGAAAACCACAGAGCCCGACTATTTTAACATGCGATTCAAACTGAAGATGTTTACCGAAGAATATGATGAGCAGAAAGGTAAAAGAATACCCTACAAGCTTAACACAAGTTTTTGTGAAAAACATAAGGTATGATTGAACCGCACATAAAAATAGTCGGGCTGTCTGGTTTTCGATCAGGTTTTTAGCATTGCGAGTGTGACCCCTTGTGTATTTTTATGTAACGAGTGTAGCAGTTTAATGTTCTAAAATATTCATTCCTTCACTGACTTCATTCAAATTTGAAATATATGTTAATCATAACATATAAAAACAATATATGATCGCAAAAGTCTAGATTTTTCTTTTTAAAAATTATTGTCCAAACAGTGATTTGAACGTCTGTGACTGTACCATAAAATAATGTTATAACACGATGACAGCTCCAAGATGTTGGAGGATTTATTGTTACCTGCACCAGGTGCAACCTGTTACTGAAGGTAACCTGAACCAGCCATTTATAACATGCACCAGTGCAGGATGTAAACAGTGAAATTGCACCCTGTATAGTCTTGTTAATCTTCTTTGGAGTTATATACATCACACTTCAAGTCTAGTTTCTAAAAAGTCTGTATGCCTGCAGTTCTGCTTTAATGAATTTAATAAATAAATTTACTGATGGAAAATACTTTAACGTGAACACAGTATCATGATCATATACTGTAAACATATTATATATCGCGCAGGTTTTATTTTCGCGCAAAATATTTTACCGCTGAAAATTTATACACAGCGAATAAACCATTCATTCATTGTATTATTTACAGGGATTAAAATTACAGTGTGTATTTGAGCCGGAAATAGCAATCAGCTGTGCACACGTATCCCGGTGATCAAGTTCAAACATGCACAATAATATTAACGGGACGAATTCTGATGCAGTCATCAGTAAAATATAATACAGAATACTATCATTTAACCCAACGAAATATATACTAGCATTGTGTAATTTCAATTACAGTTTTTGCTCTATAAATGTACAATATATATAATTCAACACTACTGTAACATTATACGGACCCTCATGAACGTGGTAAGTTGTACGCACACGGAATGGGGTAAAATAAGGGTATTTTATTTATTCATTAAGATTTTATTTATATTTATTCCTGCATATCACGAAGCTCATTTCCTTCATAGTCACCCGGCTTGTTTGAAATTACGCAATTACGACTTCAGCCTCAGTGTCATCTTTGCAATCATTTGGATCTGGAAGTCCAGGTGACTAGGGGGTAGGTGCTTTCTAAGGCCTAAGAGACAGCTGGCAGTTCCGGCAATTACTGATTGCGCGAATAATTGACCGCGCGATGTAGTCTAAACTCTCAATTCTGCGAAATTTGCACCAAGCGATAAAAATTATGTTTACAGTAGTATCTAGCTATCAGTGTGTTGTGGCTGAGTGTAGACACATCACCTGTTTGGTCACATGCTCCACAGTTTGTGCCCCAGCCCTGTAGAGGCTGTTGGCCCTGGAGTTGTGGTAGTCTACTGCAAACATGACTGCAGATTGGGCATCTTTGTCCAGACTGGCTGGCTTCACGCCGCCCAGGATGGTCTGTGTCTTGCAGGAGTATTGAGTCAGGTTCCTGGTGCTGGTCCAGGATTGGTCGTATACCACCACTGTACACAGCTCATCCTGCGCAGGAAATATAATAATGATAATAATCCACTTTTATAGCGCCATTCCAGGATGAATATCTTGTTCAAAGTGCTACACATTAACATGTTGAGAGTGAGCAGAGAACAACCCACAGGCAATGCATATTGCACTCTTTGACTTATGATTCTGGAGACTTTGAAAACATCAAATAGAAAATACATTTACTATTTTCAGGATTTCTTTTATCACAGGTGACCAATATTTTAAAGTGCCAATGAGCTTTCCAATCACACTTCTTCAACATTCTCCTATCTCTCCTTTCTGAAAAACCAACATTAAATCTGTAGTGTTTTTGAATAACAAATAACAAACAAGAGTCATCAGAAGATGACATATCCCCCCCATATTTGAAAGAACAAATCGTCTGACAGTTACTTAAGTCCAGCTTGATTTTTTTAGACTAAGTCTAAATCGTTAATATGGAAACCGGGAAAAATACAAATGACAAAAATCTGCAAATAGCAAAAGGCACCACTTTGGGATCTGCCTCACATATCTGCCAAGTTTTGCTGAAAGATACCAAGAAGTTTTTGAGTTATGCTCCGGAAACAAAATGATTACGGACGGACGACGCGTCGACTATATTTTACCTGCCAGGGGGGGGATAAAAATTAATTGCCTCAGTTGCTTTACAGCTGCAACAAAGATGTCTTCACAGACCCCTACATTATATAATGGCTACCACAAGTTAAACCAACGAAGGTGACAGCATGAACATTAACAATCACTCAGATCAGAGAATGGGTTCAGCCACCGATTACTATGCCAGTTGAGATATTAAAAACGGTACATTTTCATAACATGAATCCCAAGTACTACAGCTTGAGGACATCTAGCATTATAGAAATTACATTCCTTCAAAGGAAATATATGTTTGATGGTCACAACATGCGAATGGGTAACAACATAAAGAGTCTAGAATTGGGGCAGGCAGAAAATCTGATTCATAGGTGGATCCGGGGTTTATTAAATGACCATAGAAACTCTTGTGAAAATGAAGAGTGCACCCAGTCTTTCTCAAAGAGCTGTATCCGCCCCTGTGATTGTTTGATTCTCCTAAGGAAGGACAACTCAGACTGAGTGAATATACTTACTGTCACTCCGTTTGTAACACGAAGAACCATCTTATAGTTGACGCCTGACACAACCTGCAACATATACAGATCACTGGTAGTAATCATGCAAAACAACAATGCATATGTAAAATTTGTAACTCTTTGTTCCCAATATGTAACCAGCCCTAACATGGAGTTGTGTACTCCCTGTCCTTGAATAAAAAAAAGAAGAAAAAAAAGTCCAAACTTGCCAAGGCTGCCAAACATGGATGCCAGCATACTGCAAGGAAGCCATCTTTCACACGGCATCATATTAAGCTATATTTTGACACATGAAATCTCATGAAGGCTGAAATAGGGTGGAGTTGCAGAGGGAGAAGGAATTAGACTGTGATGTTCCTTATTTCATACGTAAATTGATCATTATGATGAAAGTCATTATAATTATGATGCTGCCAACTCAGTTATGCTAGTGTTTATGTTACAGAGGTTCTATAGTTGAAAAATACAATTCTATTTATAAAAAACAACAAGAAAAAACAATGCATATGTCAACTGTTCATATACTAGCATGCTTGTATCAACAACAGACTGCCTGAGTGCTTCCAAGATGATTGATGTACCTATGTAAACTGTTCATATGCTAGCATGCTTGTATCAACAACAGACTGCCTGAGTGCTTCCCTGATGATTGATGTACCTAAGTAATGTTGATACTGGAAATAGAGTGGTACTGTTGATTTATGTCATTAAGTGCTTGAATACCCACAAAGTGGAAGGAGAGTATTAAAAGATTTTAAAGTTCTGCTCTGGACAAGAGCACTACTACCAATTTCTGTTGAAGTCAAACTTGTTGCCATGGAAACGCAAAATATATTTTATTCAGAAATCCTAAAACTACCAAAACGCACCAGTTCACCACCAGACCTATATATGTGCCAAGTTTGGTGAAGAAACATTGAATGGTTTTAAAGTTCTGCTCCAGAAAAGACCACCACCAGACCTATCTATGTGCAAAGTTTGGTAAAAGAAAAAGTTCAATATCAATATATCAATAGATATAACGTCACAAGAATGTCTGTCTAAGTCTAAGTTGAGATGATTAGTAGATATAGGGCCACAAGAATATCTATAGTAAGTTTGCAATGAGTTACGAGTAGGCATATTAGCTGTTAGGTGGAATTTAGATATCATTCCAATCATCACCTGAGAGTGAATGAGTGAGTGAGTAAACATTCCTTTACTTGGCACCCACAATGATTCTGTTGTAGACATTCATCATTAGAAATACCATGAAATATCCTCCAAAGAGTTGTGGTCTTTCATTCATTGTTCAGTAATAATATGAAAATTTGGTAAAGAATGAGTATGCAAGTATACATCAAGACCTGCTAAGGTGCGCATTAGTCCAAGTCTGCAACTAATGCCAGTACAATTCCTAAATTGCAATTAAATAGTTCAATGTTGTTAGAATTATAAGCAATAAATGTTTTTTATTCCCAAAATATGATAATTATAACAGGAACACACAATTGGTAATTTGTCAACTTTAAATTCATCGATTTTCAAGATGTAATGTCTTCATAACTCAGAAACCACAAAATGAATTTAGGGTTATCCATGAGTGAACTGCATCCATTTATGAAACAGTCCCAATTATATTTTACTACTAGGTATAGAATCCAAACATACTGAGAATATTGTATTGAGTGAGCAGACATTGTATTGATGCATGCAGCTTACAAATAGTTTCTATCAGATGACCTCATTTGCACATTTACAGGACAGCAATACCACGTTTATTGGATAGGTTTACAGCATAGGTAATAACAGGCAACATATGAGATACATTATTACTGAGTGTTCCGCGTGGTGTTAGAGTTCAGGTCTCAAATATGAGAAGAGCAGTCATTGGTAACAGTGTGAGACAGTATTCGTCAATTGATACTTCAGACATATCGTATCTATTTCATGAGTTATCAGGTAATCTTTGTGCACATGGTCCCTCTCTTGATCAGGTCAACACAAGGTCGCTGTGCTAGGCAGTGATAGATTGCCTGGCATGTGCCCCCAGGACAAGCATAAAATATAGTTTGTTGATATGCCCTGTACCAGCAAAAGGGTTTTAGAAAATTCAACAGACAAAGTATGATGTAAACAAACATATTAATTTGTTTGTTCTGACAGACTTCTGGTGAAGAACTGATAATTCTGAGAAAATTACACTAATCAAGCTTATGGCACCAACACATTAAAATTAACGAAAAAATGTGCCCGACGTTAAGCCCACTGAGCAGAATTAGAGCAAAGGCATATATTAATAGTAATAAATTGTTTACATAAACATTAAAAAGAGCAAGCACCAAATATTATCACAACCCAATCCCCATTGTTGGGGATCATCATCAATCATGAACCTTACAATCTTCTTATTGTATTGAACATATCCAGTGTAGATTGATGCCATTTTTTGTTCAGAAGAGGAACTTTGGACTGTTTTATTTCAAAAGAATAAGAAATTCTATGCTGAGTTTGTGACTTTACATATGGAGACTGTGTTGGCAGTTCTGAAACTGATCTGTTGTGGGGAATAGCTGTTGGAGTAGAATGGAAATGGGATACATTGGATAATAGAAGGTGGGTTACAATGGATGACATAATTTATCGCGGTGCTTGGGGTTTTCGACGATGTAAGGCAAAAACATATTTTTTATCTTTAATATCATTTAAAGTTTTCATTTTACTAACCTTGAGTGATAAAGGATATATTCATCTATTTCACACAAAAATATCAAGTGTTTCCTACAAAAATAGCGATGACATCATTTTGGCTAAACTGTTGCCGCTCTCCCCATCTGGGGGCTTTGCATGGGTTTTTGACAATGAGCCACACTGTTCGATCCGCACTGCGAGGGAGTGCTGTGATCACGTGGTTTCCTATTTCTATATTGCCTGTCACGAGCAGACTGATCTTACTGAATTTTTGCTTGCAATATTTTTTTATAAAGGCAATTGATTTTGCATCTGAAGTGGTATTATTTAACGATCTCGGGTAAATAATATTGATGTTTGTTTTCTTTTTATATAACATAACTTCCAGATTTCCATTGTCAATAAAACTTCTCACGACAGCGACTGAGCATCTGCCCTACTGATGAAACTGCTTGTGCACTCCGATTGTGCACGTACTCCCCCGATACAGCACGAGCAAGGCAATCGTCCAAATCACCAGAAAGTCAAATTCAGCTCGCTTTGGGATACATATTGAACAAGTGTATCTGGCATATATCATCAAGCATTTATGATAAGGACAAGATGGGTTTAATTTGTCTTTCTGTCCACGGGACCACTCATGACAAAACATTTTATGGGATCAGGGACCTTATAGATGACCAGCTGGCACTTTTCCAAATAATCAGTTTTCTTTTTCCTTGTGTTGTGAAACGACTGACTTCCGTGACTGACTCATGACTGTTCTAGCCTACAGTTGTTCTAAACTAGCTTCACTAGTCGGCCATTTGTTGTTGTTTTTAATGTACACGTCTCCTGAACAGGAGAACAGATATTCATTTCGCCTAAATAGAACAATTTCCGCCCTAACCCACTCATTTTTTAAAAATAAATCTATGCATGACAAAAACTGAAAGGGTCATTACAAAATCAGTTATGTCAGGTATAGTGAGTAGGTCCAGCTAGTCAAGACATTTGAAGCTTACGGGTGGAAATTATTCCGTTAAATTGACAGGTGTTCAAATAACTCTTACCTGTGTCGATGCTGATTCAATCGTAACCATTTGTCTCTGAGAATTTTCCTTTGCATTTACTGTGGCAAGTGCAAATTTGGCCATAATTTGGACGTCATCATTGTTGATGTCCGAGGTTTTCCAGCCTCCCGTTAGCTTAAGATCATCATACGATCCATGACCATATATCAGAGGCAGAAACGACAACAAGATGTATAACTTCATCTTGCTGCACAAGAGAATGACACAGTGTTTACTCGTTCAACCTACTTCGGATCACGAGTTTACCAACAAACATACACGCCATCTGACGGATAGGCGGTTTGTAAAGGGACGTAATTCGTTGCTTATTAATGCTCCATCACATGCGCTCAGACTTGATATAGTTCGAGTCCACTATTTTTCGTAGTGTTTTCGCAAGATGTTTATGGAAGACTTTTGGCCAGTTTAGTTTGTATAAGGAAAATGGCCATATAAATTATTATACTTCCTCAAAGATTATTTGAAACAAAGGCTTTTAACTGCATACATACGTAATCCAACAAATATGTCCTTTTTGAAACATTTTGAGAAAGCCCTTGTTTTAACACTGGTACTAAAGTGAAGTCTCATTCTTTAAATACAATATATTAATAGGGGCAAAACACAAAACGTAATTAAGTGTTAATAGAGCTAATATTGTAACTGAACATCGTAACTAACCATAAAAAACACTTCCCTTGTGAGATTTCCATTTGCTCAAACGAACTATAAGAAGCTAAAGGAAATATTCAATAGTCATTCAATATTCAACAATGATGATTGCCGATTGCGCAGATCGATGCGCATGCTGTTTACCACTGGATTACCACAGACCCGACTATTTACAGACCGTCGCCATATAGCTATGTAGCTTGGAATATTGCTGAGTGCGGCCTTAAACAACAAATAAACATAAATCAGAGACGAATGTTGACACTATGCAAGCGGCGATATTAACAGATTGGTTGGTTTAACTTATTATTAACGTAAGTAAGGAAAGTATGTATTATTGATATGCCAAATGACAGACAGACAGTTTATTCAAAGTTAGGGGCCCCGTGACCAAGAGTACAATCAGACATATTGCATAGTGATGTGTGGTTTAAAGCACAGGAATACAACTTGTGATAACGTTAATCAATATATGAATACACAATGCCATGAATATATATCAAGAAAATTGCTAATTAATAAAATCCAAATGTTTCACTTTTAATGTATTCCCTTCTGATGTCTGAAATGGATCAGGTAGACTTAAAGACTGACTGACTGACTGAGTTTGGTTTTCCGCCGCTTTTAGCAATATTCCAGCAACATCACGGCGGGGAACACCAGAAATGGGCTTCCAGACTGAAAGAGGCTGCGGATAAAAATGGTTATACTTCAACCTTGTTAAACGCTATTTGATTTTTCAGATAAAATTTAATACAGTATTACAGCTATAAATATATCATAAACATTATCACACATTGTATAATGATTCTCCATTGTTATTCAACTATCTGTTTGTTTCGTCGTGTGCAGGTGACAGGCAGTACTTGTCGTTAATGGCGGACACGTGAAATATTGAGGCATTGACCTCGACTATCGTCGTTTCACCATGAAATGCCTTAATGTTGGACACCGCCATACATCTGCAATATTGCTGAGGTCAGCGTTAAACAACAAAGAAACAAATTCATACTGGACACGTGGCCACTCGTGTCCTCTTTGACATATATACTCACGGAGTGAGTGAGTATGGTTTTACACCGCTTTTAGCAATATTCCAGCAATATCACGGCGGGGGACACCAGAAATGGGCTTCACACATTGTACCCATGTAGTGAATCGAACCCGGGTCTTCGACGTGACGAGCGAATGCTTTAACCACTAGGCTACCCACCGTCCTATATACTCATGGAAACGAATAAGGGAACATATGGAAGTACAAGTGATCCTTTATTTATGACCAGAATTTCACCTACAGTGCAATGCATACCTTGTGAAGAAACCTGGAAAATAATAAAGGAACACTTGTACTTTCATGTGTTCCCTTATTTGTTTCCATGAGTATATGTATTTAGTGTCCAGGAAACCTTTCACTGTTGTGCCTGTCTTTTGGGAGTACATCAAAACACTCAAAGCTATTCCGCTCTGGTGGTTCATTCATTCAAATCCAAATGTCTTTGATTCCACCCCCACTAGCAGCCACTGGAAACAGATTATATTTAGTCAGCAACTTCACAATCGATGAGCGGACACACGTAGTGTTGGAAGCGCTACCTCAAATGATAGCGATTCCAAACGCTGTATTGTTGTTGTTTTACATATATTTTATTGACCAAAAAGACAAAGGGATTACAGCGTTGATGTGATGGTGTAGAGGATATATACAACGTGCTGGAAAGTGAAGGTGTACATCCCATAATGTGAAAAATGGTATACAGTTTACTATTTATATACCTGTGAAGATCCGGGTCAGCATTGGCCTTCAGTAACTCATGCTTGTCATCAGAAGCGACTGATGGGATCGGGTGGTCAGGCTCGCTGACTTTGTTGACACATGCCATCGGTTCCCAATTGCGTAGATCGATGCTCATGATGCTGATCACTGGATTGTCTGGTTCAGACTCGACTATTTACAGTCCGCCGCCATTTAGCTGGAATATTGCTGAGTGTGGCGTTAAACAACAAACCGACCAATCGTTTAGATTAGGGTCACCGAATAAACTAATATATAGGCAATAATATCAGATACGTAGATACGTTAACCCGAAACAGGTCGAAATTTCAGTGTGCTGCAACTGTGTCTCAATTAATCTAGAGTGCAATATGTCTGTGCATATCTTCCCGCAATTAAAATACATCGGTGGCAACGCGGACTGCTCCGATGCGACAACTTTAGAGAAGATATTGACTGACTATTATTGACGTCTAAAGGTAGACTGTTCCATTGGCCAAATGTATCTATAACATAAAGATCTTTGCTTGAGCAAAGACAAATTGAACAATAAACACAATGGAGTGGCCAAAACAGTGGACAATATGTTTCAAAAGGCTATGATTAATGTCATCTGGACCACTAGATTTATTTCCTGGAAGTAACAAACGTTGTATAACCGAGTAATCAGAGCTACAGATAACTTTTTGGGTCATTGAGTTATGTACTCACTTGTGTTCATCTCAAATGGGTATCCTAATTTTCCTTTGAGTAACCAAATAAATCGTATCCACCGCACTCAAACTCATTTGGGTATAATGCCATTTTCCATTAATTGTAAACATATAATAAAGTTTTAAAGTTGATTTACGTATTTGCTATTTATATTTCATGTGTAATATGACAAACGATAATTCACCGACACGCAAGCTAAAATGTGACATTTTTGTATGTACGTAAGATCAAATTTATTGAGTATTTACAATACTACCAGCGCATTTGTACGCAACAGACTTAATAGTAATCGAGTTTTCACATAAATATTTGCGTAATTTACGCACATACGCAGCATATCTGTACCTCTGTGAGTAAGTACATCGTGTACTTTGCATGTGCAATATTTCAACAAAACGGTGACTAGATGGGCTTCATAAGATATAGGATTCTCGGGCACATTTTGGGCAAGGTCTTCTTACACTATTTCTTCCATAAACACAAAAGTCGTGTGGAGGCGCTAATCTTTTTCCAACAGAGATACCAATAAACACACGCAAGCCAATAGATATTGAACGCAACCTATACTTCTCAAAATCTGGAAGGAAAAAGTTTTGATGGTATCACAGATGCATCAAACAAGTGAAGATTAAAATATCGGGGAAAGGGAGAGGTTGCATTTACATCCAACTGCACGTCTGGATAGGGCTGGAGATGACCATGCACAGACCATGACTGGTGGCAAGATTCCAACGTAGTCGGTTGGGTAGACCTGGAAGAACCCTTTTTGTCCAACAGCGGTGCGATGCCAGGTTGCATCACTGTGATGACATTCTGGAAGTGTACGCGAGATACCATGCATGCTGGCACATTTAGATCAGATATGATTCTCATGACGACTGCGCACTTCATCGTGACAGGCTCCTTATTGTTGATGCCCACTTAGAACAGGTTACGTTTGCCGGCCACCAGACCTAAACGAAAACGTGGATGGAGCAGCAGATCACCCTCTCTCTCCCGTAAAGGTACAGTAACTCGACAATGCGCTGTCTGAAGAGTGGAACCAGCGAGCCTGACCACCCTCGCCTCTTACCACAAGCATGGGTTACTGAAGGTTCATTCTAACCCGGACCTTCACGGGTCTTCAGTGTGATGAGCAAACGCTTTAGTGTCTTTAACCATTAGGCTACCTTACCGCCCCATGTTGCTGACAACTCTGCTCGACCAATTATCAGTAGAGACATGAAATTAGCATCACAATCATATAATTGCAGTGGGACGATGCCAATTTATACAATCTATCTCTTATAGTCATTAAAAAACCCAAAACAACCCTGACAGACAATTTGGTTTATTTGCTGTTGAATACATGAACTTAAAAACTGTACAACAGTATGAGATATCTTGGTACACAAGCTGTGGTGGATTCGAGATGCCCATGATCACCTCAATGAACACACACTGTGCAAAGATGGCATTGGTAATGGTCCTTCAAGGATAGTCAAATGTCCTGTAAAATTGATAATATTTACCAGCTATCATATTTGCAAAATGTCCCCATTACTGAAGAGGCCTTGTTTAGGCAATCTTCCTATGTCTTGTTGAATGGGATAGGAGCCTCTGCCCTTTGTACACAATGTGGCATATAGTCTTATAGCAAGATCATCCTACAACACAAACATCTACCAAGCAACACATCATTACAAACACATGGTATGCTCATGTGACAATCAATGGACACGATTTAACTACCTATGTGAAATAACATGGTGCTTAAAGTACAAAATTCAGTACATGACAACCTGTATTCACTTCATGAATTACAAACAATTTACTCCAAATCAACATTGTGTGACCTAAGCACTTTCTAACAATCGCATTAAAACCCACAGAAACTGAGATTCCTTACAACTGTACTAAACACAACTTTTAAAAGAAACTAATGCTCAAATAAATCGTTCCATCTACAAATACAACAATATGGATTAGCATTACACTGGACAGTCTTAAGTTGTGTCTTCATTCTTCAGAATTGACAAAGTGATTGACCATGTACTAAGCCTGCTATGTTCACTGACAATTGCAAGGTAACCATGGTAACATGATTTAGAATAGCTGCCCTGATTGTTGAGGCCAGCAGATATGATGTTTGCAACACCAGACAGCCAGTGTGCACATGGCCTTAACCCTGTCCCCACCATACACATTGCTATGGTAGACAAAGGGTTAAAATGATAACTGCTTACATTGCTAATCTAATCACAATAATAATGGGAAAAAAATTATGTACATTCAATCATAAGCCCTACTTGTCGGTAAAGGCACACATTTTGAAAACTAGTTACCAATGTGAGAAGAGAAGTGTGTTCAACAAGTGACATGTTTAATGCTTGCGTATGAATTTCACGTCTAACACCCACCACTAAAGAGGAAGCACTATGAATGCTAGCTGTTTAAGTACATGTTTAGGGGATGAACGTGCTGCATTTCAGTACAAAAACAATGGCAGTTGACAAATGTTCATGGAAATGGTAATGAAAAAATATTTTGGTTGAACATTTGTGCACATGGATCACCACTCATCTCTATCATACCATTCAACATGCAGATGTCACAGGTCAGATCAAGTGAAATCAGAGATATTCTGAGTATTCGGATAATGAAGAACTTGCCAATGTCATGTTAATTCCTATATCACTTACAAGATCACCCCGAGGTAAAATCGAACACTCAAATGAGATAATAATTTAATGACTGATGTTTATAAAATTTCACCTCAGCTAGAACACGTGTTAGTTTGGATAATAACAGAACGCCAAGCAAGGGAGTCAATATTATATGGAAGAATGCATATTTCAACTGATTACTTATATATACAGGTGAAAAAGAAACAATTCGTAAGGGCTTGATGAGGTACCAAACAAACTCAATTTGAGGACACTTGTCAGAGAACATAGACAGGGAGTCTAACATGAGCTGAGAACGGAACTTATGTTGCATAACCAATATTTGTCAGGCTCATTAAACCTCGGAACACCTACAGTTGTTCTTAATATTTGTTCATACAATGGCACAAAGATGGCCACTAAGCAGTGAAACATTCAATCTTACAAAGTTAATGTTGTAAAAACTTTTGTCTGAAATGTCATGAAAATAGTGGATGATATGAACAAAACAATGACAAATGATAACATGAAATCTCTTGACACACAATGCATCCTCACAGGTACAATGTAATTTACTGATCAGGACACGTGATATACGAGCTGCATAATCCTGTCGCCACGGGGGAATTATGCAGCTAGTCCACTTACAAAATACTGAGAAACATTTCATTTTGAAGACAGAACACTAGTACTAAGTATTGTTTAACACCGCTTTAGCAATATTCCAGCAATATCACGGGAGAGACACAAGAAAATGGGCTACCCAACTGCCCCAGAAAAAACAATCGACAAGGAGAATATCTCTTATCAGTAACTGATCTACCAGATAATTAAATGCAAACACCATTTCATCGTGAAAGAAGACACCATGGACGTCATGGTAATTGACTGACTGTGTTTAGAGACAGTGTAAGAATGGGACTGTGTTACCATATCAACAGTCCTGATCAAGTCCTACTCAAAAGTTTACTATATCATAACATATCTTAAAAGAATATTGGTCCTGTTTGTAACAGTGACTGGCTATCATAGGGATTTTTCTGTGCGGTGGTGCTCCCTGTCCCAGTCATCCTGGGCTGCTGGTACTGGGGTGCTGAGTGACTACTCACAGCAGGTCTTTCTAGATCTCGATAGTCAGGTCGCTTGCTGTAATAGTCGTAACCGTTAGGGTAGCCTTGGCCATTTTCCTGAGCTGGTCGTCGAGCAGGAGGGGGATAGTCTGCCAATCTGCAAAACATTTCAAATGGTCTAACAGCTCAACAGAGTACCTTGTCTAATTCATATAGTACTTACAAAAGTTAAAGAACACATGTTTCTTTCTACAATTTGCCATGGTTGGGGGGTTTGTCCAACATGGTCTTCAAATTGAGGGTTATATTTAACTTATTTTGAGTAGCACAAATGGAAACCTTCACATCCATCTATCTGCCTTTACCGCCACATCACCCTGTAGAATGAGTGAGCAAAATAGGTTTTACGCTGCTTTTAGCAATATTCCAGCAATATCACAGCAGGGGTCAACAGAAATGGGCTTCACACATTGTGCCCATGTGGGGAATTGAACCCGGGCCTTCAGCGTGACGAGCGAACACTTTAACCACTAGGCTACCCCACCGCCCCTACCAACCTGTAGAAGCAGCTTACTCATTCCAGTCCCTAGTCCTCCAAACTAGGGCTGCAACTCACCCAGACCTCGATTCGATTCAATTTTCGATATTGGACCCTTGATTCGATCATTTTCGATTCGATTCTTCATAAAATTAAAACCATCAGATTTCATTTAACTCATGTCTGCTAAAATGCTCACTGGATAATTAGCCCAGCGTCAACCAATCACGTTTTGACGTATTTCAGCGCTCAAAACTGCTCAAGTTGGAGTCAAAATTACGTTCTGGCTGTGAGGAAATAATTTAGATAGGTATTCAAATATTGAATCGAAATAGTGATAATGGTTATCGAAAATCAAAACTAAGGTGTCAGATTTGAATTTCGATGAATCAAACCGAATCGTTGCAGCCCTACTCCAAACCCTAGAGTTAGTCACACTAATGGACAGGTACCAATGTCTAATGTTGCACAAGGTGCTTGATAAGAACATCTAAAGCCACAATGTAATTATAACAGATCAGTATCACAGATTCAGTGTAATATGAAGTTCCTTCAAGAAACTGAATTGGTTGTGCAAGTGAAATGCTTGAATCCCAACAACACTGTTCACACACAACTATGTTGTTTTTAATCATGCCATGCGATTTAAGAACAGACTTACTTACGGTCGTTCATAGTATTCTGGGGGTGGTCTAGCCACAGGGCTACGTTCTCTATAATATGGGTCTGAAGGTACATCCAGAGGTCGTGCTCTCTCATAGGGACTTCGTTCATATGGACTTCTTTCCTCTGGGTACCCATATCTATCTCTGGGTGGTGGTAGCATTCGATCCCTGGGGTCAGGATATGCTGCTCGTCTGTCTGGAGGAGGTAGTGGCCTTTCCCCTGAGGGCAATCTCTCCCTTGGAGGATAACGATCACCTGGGGGTGGGGGTGGGGGCATCCTTGGTGGGTACCTATCACTGGGAGGAGGGGGTCTGTAGTAAGGATCCCTTTCTGGGTAGGGATATCTGTAATAGGGATCATATCTGTCGTACGGATGAGGTGGAGGATACCGGCTCGCGTAAGAATCTCTGAGTCCTCCGCCACCTCCTCGTGGAGACCCCCTGCCTGAACCCCGGGCGATACCTCCTCTTCCCCTGCCCCTGCCACCACCTCGAGCTCTGAAGACACATAGAAATGCACTTTTACTAAGTGGAAGTAATGCGTAGGATGAGTTTAATGTAATTTGTTGAACAATGCTCAGAATATTTGATAAAACTGAGTAAGTGATAATGCACTAAACTGGTTTGCATGCCTTAGGACCCTTGCACTCCTTGCCTCACTACAAACACAGGTCAGGAAGCCAATTCCAGGAGAAAGTCCTCTGAGTAGATTTATGACCCTCCTCCTTGGCACAAGACAAGATAGATCCTGGGCAGCAATTCTTGGAAGGATTTATGACATCAAAATGTGTATGATGTCAGTACTCTCACTATGGTGAATCAAACACATTTCAAATGCTCACAAATTCACAGGTATTCTGATGATCTGGTCATTGTCTGCCACGTTTGAAAATAACCTGAAAGGCCATATTTAGATCTTATATTTCTCTCAGGTAATGATGTCTGTTCAGAGGGCCTGACCTGTCCATTGTGCAGCTGCTAGGAGCCGAAGAACAAGGTATCACTCTAATAATTCACAAGTGAGTGTTTCGTTTCTGACTTGGAAGTCATATTGCACTAGCATCGAAACATTTTTCTTCGGTGATTTGCATGATAAAAACCAAACATAACATCCAAACATTTATAACCTTGACAGATTTGAAACAATACTAGTTTACCCACAGATTGAATCAATACTATGTTTACCCAGTGTATTTGCAGGATATTCTTAAGTGTATGGTCTAAGTCTTAGAAGTTGATGCCACGACCAGAATGTCAACGTACCTTTCTTTTCCACCACCTTCAACCCTCTTCCCTGTGGATCGCTAGAAGGAGACAAAACAATGAGAACAACCAATAAGATCATCAACCAAACAATATTTTCAATAGATTTTAAACCAATATTAGCCTACTTCTGTTATAAGTTCTGAAGATATGTCTCTGGCTTAAGACATGTGGATGAAATTGCTGATGAATGTGAACCATTAATGAATTATCTTGAACTTCAAGGTCCTTTGGCAACAAAGCTCACACATAGCTTTTGAAGTAATGAGGTCTTCTGCAAATACAAGATTTATTTATAGTGTGACACATTTCTATACTATCAACATGATGACGATCAACATCCCAAAATGACGAAAATAAAAACATGAAAGTATGTTCTTCTCCTAGAGCCTTTAACTACTTTCTGTGTTTGTAATAAATATATTCTACAAGACAAAGTAACCCATAACCATTAGAGGTGTGACGATACAGAAATTTCACGATACGATACGTATTGCGATATCATGGAACGATACGATTCATATCACGATATGCTATCTTTAGTTATTTTCTTTAAAAAAGTGTATTTTGATAACAAGGAACGGTATAAATTTTGACATAACCGTCAATTTCTGGTGAAAATTCACAATGTTAAGGTCAACGATACATATCACGATGCGGAAAAAAGTATCGATATATTTATTGACAGAAAAAGTATCACGATTATCGCTACTACGATATATCGTCACAGCTCTAATAACCATCTTAAATGTTATCAACTTGTTGTGTTGGAGATAATGGCCCAAACAAGATGCATGTACTATCAACTATAATACCTCAACTCTCATTCTGTGTCCATGGATTGAATATCCATCAAGTTCTGTTATAGCAACTTGTGCTTCATTGTCATCACTCATGTGCTGAAAATATAGCAGACAGATCTGGTGTTACAAATGAAAAGAAGCATGTACATTTATCATCAGGTTAGAAACACATATAAGTTTTCAGGCAATCAAAAATAACTCATGCAGAAAATGTTATCGGTTCCAGGAATGACCCACTTAATGTGACTTAGTTTTGTTATACATAAGCATGTTGTTTTTTTGTTTAACACCGCATTCACTGCTATTCCTGATAATGGACTGTAAATATTCTAATCTGGGCCAGACAAAGCATGGTTCTTTGCAATTAGGACATGATGACATCAAGTCATGAACGAAGTCAGTGAGTCAAACCATGCAATAGGGTTTATTGCATCTCATGATAAGCATGAGTTCCATAGGAAAAAATAAATTAATTTACAATCTTACACATTATTTTATACACTGAAAAACAGTTACAAGATGAATCTTACCCAAAGCAGCATGTGTTCATTGGACAGTATGTCACTCACATATTAATAATAATACACTCATATCTGAAAGGATTCTGCGATAAATTCAGCATTCTTGTTATTTCTGGACATTTTACTTTTAGAAAACAAGACTTCTCTTTTGTAATACAAATCAGGGGTGGAAATAACCCACAGCCCGACGTCTGAGTCCAGTGTATCTTTCTGTCAGGCAAGCAAATTTGTATATCACACTGTACCCAGTGTACCGGTGTCCAGTTGACTTTCCAATGTAAATTATGTTGTTTATTTAAAAAATCAACCAGAAAAGGGCCGGTGTAGTGGAAAAATTATCAGGGCAAGTGATTTTACATGTGCCACTGTACCAGAGTACACTAGCAATTTTAAAGTTATTTCCACCCCTGCAAATATTGTCTTATTCAATCATTTTTGTACATTTCCGACCGTGAAGATCACGGGTAGAATTGATCTTCAGTAACCCATGCTTGTTGTAGAGGTGACTAACAGGATCGGGTGGTAAAGCTTGCTGACTTGATTGAACCATGTCATCATATCCCAATTGCTTAGATCGATGCTCAGGATGTTGATCACTAGATTGTGTGGTCCAGACACGATTATTTTACAGACTACCGCCATATAGCTGGAATATTGCTGAGTGCTGCGTAAAACTAAACTCACTCACTTACTTTTGAAAATTCCTTGCGGACACACTTTTGTAACCAACATTTAAGGAATAAAACTGTGGTTAAATCATCAAGAAAATTGCCAAGAGATTTACATTAAGTTGTTTTTAGCTCATAAGAGAACAATTACTACTTTCACTGGAAAATGGAGAAAACAATAAAGCATGGTGAAAGTTTTTGATTAACTTTTATAACAATTGAAAAATTTAACTATAAATTGTATATCTATAATACTTTTCCTATCTCATGTTATGCAATTTCTCTTGTTCTTACACTGCCTTCAACAATGGATAGAGCTGAAACAAACTTTAGCTCAGCTCATTTCCACTCCAGGGTAATAAGAACAAGATAAAGTGCATAAAGAGAGAAAGGATAAGTTTAAAATTTTCTTCATTACAATGTGCATTTTTACAACTTATTGGCATGGTATCTGTTCAAATGTTACTACTGGCAAACAAGGATAAGTTGAGGACCGACCTGACAATTGATCCGTATTAGCATGTATGATATGGGTGAAGCAGGCGCAAGACGTGTGCAGCTATGTGCGGAATCAATTTCATCGTCATGCAATGCACTAGCCTACATCTGCTCTACCTTTCACAAACCAAATGGATTTGCTCATTGCCGTGCACCGCCTACTTCTCATAAACCGTAAAACACGTTTTCTGAGGTGGTCCAACTTATCCTTGTTTGCCAATACTGACATTTACTGTGTACTTAAATTTCAAATTCTGCTACACTGACTACATAAAAATCATTAAAAAACACACATTAGCAGTATGACTTTGAGGTAGATGAAAGTGTAACGGATGGTATCTATGCCCATGGTCAGAGGAACTGTACACGACTTTGAGGAAAAACTAAAAAATTTTTCTGAAAGTGGCACAGATATATGTAACATGACATTGGTACTCACCACAAAGCCATAGTTCCTGAGTACATCACATTCTGCTACATGTCCATATTTTTCGAACAATGGACGCAAATCATAAGCCTGTGTATCTGGTCCCAAATTTCCAATAAATATTTTTGTTGGCATTCTGGCACTACAAGATAAAAATGATTGTTAATAATTGAGAAAATAAACAAGCATGGCATGCAAAAATCAGACTTCCCACGATACATAAATCAGGTTTCACTGAAGTTGCATTTGATGGAAATCAAAGAAACTAAGCCATACATGACATATTTGAAATAAAATTTCAAATAATTCTATTGTCACTTGTATCAATATCTTGTTAAAGGACACATTTCATGTAATCTTAAATTAGCTTTCTTTCCACAGAAATAACTAATTAAACCAGATGTGTACTTTGATGCACATTTACCACAGGGTATACAAGGTCTCTGGTATGGTTGACACAAATCTGGTGTCAAACTACCAGGTTGGGGAAACCTACCGATCGGCCTATAATAGGCCAAACAGGATACCATAGTCCGCTCGGCCTATTTTGCTATAGGCTGATAGGCCTATTTATGATATTTATCAAATAAATTTGAAGTGGTGCATTTCCGCATGTGGATATTAACCTCATTCAAGTTTTGATGTCCTAAGGTTCTCATTCAAACCCTTTTTGAGAATTTTCATCACATAATAAAGGAGTTTGGAAATTGCTAATTAAATATAAGTCTATAATAGTTTTTGACAAATTTCACTGAAAATTAATGACATAGATATTCAGTTTTAGTTTTCAAAAGGAAAATCTATGCAAAATTGTGTTCTTAATGAAACTTCTTTTCCTGAACATGATATTAATTTCCATTTTGTCGAAAAACTTCTTTTTTTTCAAGCTGAGGAGGTCCATTAAGTATTCACCTCTTTGATCATATAAAACCATTTCATTTTGATAGTTTGTGAAATATTTAGAAAAATGTTCAAATATAGCCCGATCAACCTATAGCAAAATAAGCAGAACAGCATATAATATCATGGTTCTGCCTATTATAGGCCGATTGGTAGGTTTCCCCAACCGGACTACTGTGTCAACATGGTCAGAGTTCATGTATTTTGCCTTTCACGTTAGTACAAAAAATAGAGAACTCTCTGATGTTGACAAATTATCATTTGCTACGGATGTTACTCTTACATATACACTGAACAATCAACGCTCATTATCCTTGATTGTCATATCCTTTTGTTTAGGCTATTGAGCTGTTTGCTTAAATATGATATTTTGTAATTGCTGACTGATATGGCCTGATATTCTCAAAAGTCGGGCCCAAAAGTCATTCATCCCATACCATACATTGAAATAAGTACGTTTACACAGGGAAATTAACAATGACAAATTAATTCGATGGTTGTGAGCTGACAACACGAAAATAGGGTACTTGATGATGAATTGCACACGATACTGTATCAATGTGGGGGGCGCAGTAAATATATTTACTTATTGCGTATTGCAACACATTCATTAGTGAGTGATAATGTTTACCAAAATACGAAATGTATTGATTCTTAAGGAAGAGAGGTGAGACCTTAAGATTTGATACATTCCACAAAGAAAACCGGCATTTCGCATATCTCATTTTAACAAATAACGTAACGATAGTGGGTTCTTTTCTACCCGCATACATTCACTTGAAGAAAAAACAACATACTTTTTAACTCATAGTAAAAAGCATACTTACATTTGCCTTCAATTCCTACTAAAATGCATTAAAACGACTAAAAGCCAACAAGCATGCTCCAGTGTAATGGCGGCAGGTACAGGAGACTCAAACTCTTAGGTACGTATTCTTTCATTGGCTGTAGCCGAACATTCGCCCAATCACTGAAGCTGTTACGTCGGAAACGCTTCACCGAAAAGCATGGCTCACAGGCGGCATGGCCGAGGAGGCCATCGAAAGAAACGCAACAAATCGGCTCCAAGAATCACCGATGGTCAAAAACACTTCTTGAAAGAAACGGGAGAACTCCATCCGTCCGAGTTAAAGTAAATAGTTTGCCAGTTCTGGGATTATTCGTTAAGATCATATTATGATAGTTGAGGTACTTTGTGATAGCAAAAGTGATCTCCCTTGAGGTGTTTACAAACGCGATATGGCATATACACGTATAATGATATATACAACATTCTAGAAAGTATGCTGACATTGTATTACACATAATTTATTGATTCCTTTTTTAATTGATTTTGATATCACTGACACATTCTATTTGGGCTTTCTTTAGGTTTCCATTAGAAATTGTGTTTTACAACGAAAGTTACTTGTTCTATATTTACCAAAGCCTACATGATATGACCTATATAGTCCATATATCACTGTTCCGTATTTACAACCCGCCAAGCTGTGAAGTCATGTCATTTTCCTTAATCTAAACACATGTATGTAAAATAGTCTTTTCTATTACATGGTAAGCATGTTATTGTGATGATTAAATTGCAACTTGTTCATTTCTTGTTCTTCAGAAATTTATGGTTGTGATAAAATTTCACTTTAAGGATTTTTGTATGTCTTACTTGTGTTTCACCATACTTCATGATGCATGAAGAGACAAGTGTACCTGAAATCCCATGGAATACTAGTAGTTAACAATCACCCTGAAGACATACTCAAAGACCCAAAGTAAAATGTGACTAAATATGTCATCATGAAAATAGCTTTCTGCAAACCATTTCAGTGTGATAAGCATCTGCCCATCTTGAGTAAGCATATCTTTCCAAACACACCATTTAGTTTAGTAAACATTGATATATTTATCGATCATGTCTGTTACCTAAAACCCACATCCATTCTCAAGGTTCTACAGGACTTCTCTGTCGTGCCACACAACACACCCCTCACGCACGCACGCACGCACGCACCTGCGCACACACATTGTGATATTGCTGCAGTGTTGCTAAAACAACATTAAATCATCCTGACACATACCCTTTAATGCAGTTTTAGCACTCGTTTTCTGTAGATGCTAACAACATGATTAAACAGACTGTCTTTAGATGTTTTAGACATTTTACCCATTTAGGTTTTAATACATTCAACCCTTTTCTTTCCTGCCAGAGACAGTGTCCGGCATTATACCAAAGTCAAGGATGAACCCATTAGTAGAAAACAGGTGAGTTGATTTCTTTGATGGGCATTTTAGAAGTTGAGGTGATGAAGAATGATGGCAATTTTATGGATATACATACAACTTCTATTCTGTGAAAGGCTACGTTTCGACATAGATTCTAATGTCGTTGTCAAGCAAGTGATACATGTGAGTTTATGTACAAAGTCTGGTTGTGCAGATGTGAATTTCTTTCCCATAATTAGGGTATTATGCATTATTGTTTTTTATTTATTTCTGGGATTTTTTGTGAACTATGTGTTTTATATGTAGCTCACCTGACTTAAAGCCAGTGGAGTTGAAATCATTGCCCAATTCTCTATGATCATCAATGAAGACTCCCCTATGTATTCAAGATATTTTTTGCTATTTTGTTTTATATTTAGGTAGATTTGACCATGTTGTTAAGTCATTGTTTTTTCCTATTACATATTTGTCTCTGTAAACACCTGAAATTGCCACACTGACAGAGCTGAACTTTGGCATATATATATTCAACCTTATGAAGACTGTATATATTTTATGTAATACATTTCACTTGAGTTTTTGTGCTGAAAATATTAGAATATCAAAGCTGACTGCAATATTTGCCAAGTGTATGTCTGTTGACATGTTGATTACACTTAAGCTTCAATGACTGGCAAATTGTTGTGTTTGCTTTTTTCTCTCTTTGTGAAACATTGAGCCTTGTATACATCTCTGCTAAGCTATTATTGTAACTTTAAGTAAAGAAAAGTTTTCTTTTGCAGAAATATTGTTTTATCCATAAGACATTACGGATATGAAAGCATTTTGAATAGAGCACTGAATTTCAAAATTTGTTTAAAACATTAACACATTGTATAAAGTAGACTAATCAAATCTGGTAATTTTTCAGCCTTGTACTCTGAAACTGTGTTACCATGGTTACATGATGTTGAAGAACTATGTTGTCGTCTAGGTACCAGTTGAAACATCTTCAGACAGTGAGGAAGAGGAGACTGCATTTCAACAGCTCATGTCATCCATTGGCCAGGGTGCATCTGCTAACGCCTACAAGTGTAAGGATTTTAACACTATGTTATGTTACAATAGCTCTTTTCATAGAGGGGCGGTGGGGTAGCCTATTGGTTAAAGCGTTGGCTCGTCACGCCGAAGACCCGGGTTCGAATCCCCACATGGGCACAATGTGTGAAGCCCATTTCTGGTGTCCCCCGCCGTGATGTTGCTGGAATATTGCTAAAAGCGGCGGCGTAAAACCAAACTCAGTCAGTCAGTCTTTTCATAGACCTATGTATCAATAGAGCATTTTGTCAGCTACTAGTAGGAGATACTGTTTCAGAAACACTGAGCATTCAGGAACCATCCTTAATTTATGTCAGTGTAAGTAAACGAAATACACAGAGGACACGTTACACACTCCCAGGAAGAAGTTGAATAACACCTGATTTTATTGTATGATTACAATGAATGTGTCTTCTTTGTGGCGGAAAGTTCTGTATGAAGTATCCACGTAACCTGTATATATAGTCAGCATGCAGAATATGTCCTTGATAACAAGGAGAACACGAATACCCAATGGTATCATGTGCTGCCATTTATTGTGCAGAGTTGTTTCCCTTGATATGTTGTCTGTGATCGGGTGTTCATATTGACTTGGGCCTAGATTTTTGAAGCTCTCTTTGCACTAATATAGTCGTAAGTTAATGTTAATGTATGGCACTTACGACTTTCTTAGCGCTAAGAGAGCTTCAAAAAGCTAGGCCCTGGTTTAGTTGTTTGTCACTACGACACCAACACTTATATTCTTCACCAGTGTGGTCACAGGCCACTGTGGCAAATTATTATTTCATGCTTAACTAAATTATCATTGTCTTTGAATGTTTTGTTTAACTTTTTAAAAATAAACATGATAACATGCAATCATCGTCCATGTTGCAGCCTCTGATGACGAGGATGAGGAAGATAGTGATGATATTGAGGATGAGGAAGGAAGCCAGATGGATAATGACAGTGCTGTGGATGGTGATGGTGAATCTGAGGAGGATGGTAAAGATGAGGAAGACAGTGATGATATTGAGGATGAGGAAGGAAGCAAGATGGATAATGACAGTGCTGTGGATGGTGATGGTGAATCTGAGGAGGATGGTAAAGATGAGGAAGACAGTGAGGATGAAGAGAGCAGTGTAAGTGATGACAGTGCTTTGGATGATGATGAGAAGAATGGCCAGTGTAACCGAAACATACTGAAGGATAATTCATCTGGCAGGAATTATGATGAGGTTGAGGATGATGATGATGATGATGATGATGATGATGATGATGATGATGATGATGATGATGATGATGATGATGATGATGATGATGATGATGATGACAGATGATGATGTATCCTATGACTCACAAGATATGGTTCATCAAAAGAATAATAAAAGTCTCAGAATGAAAGAAACAGAGAAGAAAGGTGCTTCTGGAGTCAAAAACCAAAAAGGACAGAAACGAAAACTTGAGACAGTACTTTCTGAAGATGAAGCAGAGCTGATTGAAGATGAAGCAGAAGACCAAAGCAGAGATTCAGGTATGTTTCTGTCTGAAAACCTTCATTTTGTTAACTGCTGTAATGGATGTTGATCTGGGCAGCACTCTATGAAGAATCTGTAGATTTCAGTTCTGAGTGATAATGTTATGAATTGATGCTTCTGCTGCATTGTGAATATCCCGCCATTGTTGTGCAGTGAACTTCTACAGAGTTTTCATGATAATACATGAAAATAAACCCAAAAGAACAGAAAAAGAAGACAGGGTCAAGCTGAATCACATTGTACTCCCAACTGTTCGAATTTCCCTAATAATTTTACTGTTATAAGTCGGGACGGTCAATTAATCCAATTGAATGTCCTTGTTGAATGTTAATGGTTTTACACAGACAGCATTTTTTACTGTTGCCTTAAGCTAATGAGTGAGTGAGTGACTTTAGTTTAACACCACACTCAGCAATATTCCAGCTATATAGTATATGGCGGCGGTCTGTTAATAATCAAGTCTGGACCAGACAATACAGTGATCAACAGCATGAGCATCGATCTACGCAATTGGGAACCAACCGTATGTGTCAACCAAGTCAGCGAGCCTGACCACCCGATCCTGTTAATGGCCTCTTACGACAAGCATGGGATACTGAAGATCAATATTCTAACCCAGACCTTCACGGGCCATGAGCCCTGTGCCCAGCCCAGTAGATGAATGTTATTGTACATGCAGCTGTGTTGTGTACATCCATGGAATGACACTTCACAAACACCCACTGGATGAGAAAGACCCATTGCTGTGCTCCAGTGGGATCATAGATATAATGCCATTATGGTGTTCCAGTTATTGAAATCAAGTCTACATGCTGTTATTATGTTTTACATATTTTAATGTTCAATGTTCTTGTTTCCTGAAGATCCATTTGCTGTTCATTTTGAGAGAGATTTGAGTGACAAGGATGTTGAAATTATGAGTCAAAACGGCACCTGGGAGAAGCGAGAACTGAAGGTATTATATACGGATTATAGCAAGTTACCAACTAGAAATTACAAAATATGTCTAAATAATTACGTATACGTAGGCCCTTGCAACTGTGGTTGTGAGGATATTAGCACAACTGTATAACAGGATTGAGGACGTTCCCGACGTAATGCTTCTTTGTTGTCATAATGAAAAAGTTCTGTATCTCTGACTCTCATTATTTTGGATTTCGACCAAAGTGTCGGCTCGAAAAGGTAGTTACATGCAAAAACATTGCTTTATAATCCAGACTGAGCAGGATGTCCGCTTGGCCAATAAACCTTGAATAAACAATCTGTTTATTGGTTTGTGTATTTTGTCTTATTTACTGAGCAGGAAGAACGCTTGGCCAAGACCGCTTGGTCTAGCGGTGAACGCTTATTTACCTTTGATGCGATTAACACTTATTTGTTCTTCACAAACTAAAGCTTTTATATGCATGTATGTAATAAACAAATGTACATGTACTTTGTGAGTAAGTGTTTCGTCTTCTTACACACTCATATAATATGTGTTTCATGCACAATATCGTATGCTTGTCAAAGGGACATAACTCCATTATAATCTGTGTACCTTGACTGCTGTCTAATTCAGACTTTTTAGTCGGTCCCAAGCCGGTCCAAATTAGACAGAGTGCACTGTATATCAAAATAATTACTTTGTTTCTGTTAATTTCCCCACCATTTGTTATCCCCTGCAACGCGTTTTGCGGGGTTATTAAAAGAGACTCCGTCCGTCCATCCGACCGTGCACATTTGCTTTTGCCGGAGAATAACTTTAAAACCGTTCAATACTTCTTCACCAAACTTAGATAGATCTGGTGGTCTATTGGTGCGTTTTGGTAGTTTTGGATTTCTGAATAAAATATTTTTTGCGTTTCCATGGCAACAAGTTTGACAGACTGAAATTGGTGGTAGTGATTTTTTCCGGAGCAGAACTTAAAAACTGTTCACTAGTGGTGAACTGGTGTCTTTTTGGTAGTTTTGGATTTCTGAATAAAATAGTTTTTTTTGTGTTTCCATGGTAACAATTTTGGCCTCAACGGAATTTGGTGGTAGTGCTCCTTTCTGGAGCAGAACTTTGAAACCTTTCACTCAGTACTCTCCTTCCACTTTGCTATATACACACCAAAACATTTAACATAATCATAACTCGTAGACATATTCATGAAGAATATTTTGCCATTGCATGGGATATTGATGACTTTGTCTTTTTGTTTACATTTTAAATCATACCAGGACAGTAGATGATATGGATGACTGTCTTCTGACTTAGTTCAAGTGATTTCAAATATCCTCCTAGTCTCTCTCAATACATATTGGGCGGTGGGATAGCCTTGTGGTTAAAGCGTTTGCTCACCATGCCAAAGACTCATGTTCGTTTCCCCACATGGGTACAATGGTCCCCTGTCATGATTTTGCTGCTATAAAAGCCATGTAAAACTAAACTCACTTTCTCACACACAGTACATAAATGAGAACATTTTTCTTTTTCAGGTTCCAAATGTTGGTAAGGCTTTCCTTCTCTCAAAGAACTGGAATCTGGTTTCAAAGATGGAAACAGCAAATCTTAAAGATCTTAAAAAAGTCAATGTGAGCATTGTTATTTCCTATGTTACACAAAACAAGTTTACATGTTACAAATGATGTGATGGAGTTCAGATGAATAATTGTGGCGAGTTACATCTACATGTACATCATAAAGCCACAAGTAGATAATTAATCAATCTATTTATAGTCCAAAGCTAGTGGTATGGGAGAGATTTTATGTTTTATTTTTTATGTTATATTAAAATAAACATATGAAAGCAGTGGAAGTCAATACATGTAGTTGACACAAAGCATGACTATTTGGTAGGGCCATGTGTAGGATGTATTTCATGGAGTAAAGTCAGAAGTTCAGTTCTTGGTCTGTAGCTTCTTGGAAACAAGAACATTATGTGCACTGTAGCTTGGTGTTGTGCTGTGACCCAATTTGGGTCATACCCTTGATTCATTTGTCAGGACTTTTGAAATGTTTTTCGCTGGTCAGGTTTGTCATTGTACAAACTTGATGAATGGGAGCTTTGACAGATTTTAGAATATTCCTGTTTGCCTCCAGGTGAAGCACACCCTCTGTAACCAGGTGGGGGAGACTAACCGCAGTATGGTCCAGCCACCCTCCCTCAAGGCTGCAGGTAAGTACATGCTAGAGAACTGAGGGAAGCAGCCATAAAATCACTGTTTATACTGTCAACATTTATTGTCCTCCTTTTATTATCCCCCGCAACAACGAAGTTGCAGGGGATATAGAAACGAGTTCCATCCGTGTGTCCGTCAGTGCGTCCGTCACATTTGTCCGAAGGATATCTCCTAAACTATTCGTGATAGCTTAACTAGACTTGGTAGACAGGTCAAGCATGATCCATAGATGTGCCTTTTGGGGTTTAGACCTAGATATGAATTTTATTTTTGGCGGTTTCCATGGAAACGTTACTTAGGCTGTGGCTATGAGGATGTATCTTGTCCGGAGCAGATCTAAACTATACATGCTAGCTTCATCAAACTTGGTACACATATGAAGCATGATCCATAGATGTGCCATTTGATGGTTAGACCCAGATACAGATTTTATTTTGTGTGGTTTCTGTGGAAACGTGACTTAGGCTGTGGCTATGAGGATGTCATCTTGTTGCATTTCCATGGCAACAAGTTAGGCTTCAATTGAATTTGGTGGTAGTGCTGCTTTCTGGAGCAGATCTTAAAAACCTTTCAATACTCTCCTTCCGCTTTGCTATATACACTCCAAAACATTTGACATATTCATAAAGAGTATTTTGTTGTTGCGGGGGATATTGATGACTTTGTCTTCTTGTTACATTTTGAAAGGTGAGTAGTGGGTCTGGAGGTCAGTCTTCCTGACTTGGTTGATACATGTCATTTCCTAATTGCTTTGATTGATGTTCATGAAGTCAATCACAGGAGAGTCTGGTCCAGGTTTGAATAGTTACAGAATACTGTCATCTAGGTGGAATACAGTGTTAAACAAAACAAACACCCAAGACATGGATATCGATTTAGGCACTATCCTTCCATATGTTAAATGTTTAGCAGCAATTGTTTATAGATTCAGGAATAAAATTTTTCCCTTGCATACTTCTGTAAGACCGGACAGATTTGTAGATTATGTTCTGATTGCAACCAATTCTTGACAGCATGGAGAAATTATATTTTATAGAGTTATTGCCCTTGCATGATATTTTTGGGTTTCTGTTTCCAGACGATCTGTCGCCTCTCCAACAAGGACTGTTCTCTCTGCTTAATGCTTACCAGGTTTGTGGCCATTAGTGTCGTTCTGATTGCAACCAATTCTTGACAGTAATATCAAGACATAAATTGTGTTCCTGATGTGAGGAGCCAAATTCTTCTTGTAAAAATAAAAGCTTTCTTGGACTACCATGACAAGGACAGATTACTTATAGTTGTGTGTGTATGTATTGGACGGTGTGTTAGATATGAATGTTTATTTTTGTAGGATGTCTCCTTTACTGAGCGGACCCACAGTAATGGAGAGGAGATTCGTCTAGTGTACTGCCTGCATGCTCTTAACCATGCTTTGAAGTGAGTTCCATTCAATTCATAACATTATCTTTGACTGTGGTTATTAAGGTGTGGTTGAGTATGTGACTCCAGGTAATGGGACCATATTTCACATGATCTTGTCCTCCTCCATTGCAACCCTCAGCCAAACCTGGATCCACTGGTTCCAAATTCAGATCAGATTCATTGAGCCGCAGTGGGGCCGCATGACTTTGTGTCCTGGCGATTACGTGCCTGCCTCTGATAGTGTGGGTTCGAATCCCGGATATGACCTGTTGTCTGGGGAGACCTCCCTCCCATATTAAGCGGACACACATTGATGGGACTAAAGCACTGTTTGAGGAGGAGCGTACGCTAGTTCACTCACTCGTCTCAACTTTTTAAAGTGAAAAATAATGTTAAGTACATATACAGTTTTGTAAGTCAGGTCCCTGTTCCTTAACACATGACGGCTAGGGGAATACACAGGTGTCTGTGCAGATATTCTGTATGGAGGGAGTAGCAATTGTGCCTTCACCAGTTTACTCATTTCTGTTTCATGAACGTGATCAAGTGTGATATTAAGATTTAATGTTATCCAGAGATCATGTACAAGCAAGAGTTGTTTATTCCAGGACTCGAGCACGAGTGGTCAGCCACAACACCAAGATAAAGTCAAAACAGAAAGCTGATATGGAGTAAGTAAATTGGAATGAAACAAATAATAATAACATCAATAGAATTCAGGATATTGATTCATTATCCCCCGCCGTGTGTTTAGCGCGAAGCGGGGGATATAGTATTAGGCTCCGTCAATCATCACGTCCGTCCGTCCGTTCGTACGAATTGGAATATCTAAAGAACCATTGACTGGATTCTTTTCATATTTGGTACTTAGGTTCATCACAGTAAAAGTAAGGTCCCAGTCAGGTTTGGTGACCTTGACCTTCATTTCAAGGTCACAAGGGGACTTTAACGTTTTACCCTTGTCAGCGAGATATCTCAAGAACTGTTCACTGGATTTTCTTCATATTCAACACCAAGCTTTATCTAGGGAAGACGCAGGGCCCAGTCGATTTTGGTGACCTTCACTTAATTTTCAAGGTCACAGCGACACTTTAGAAGATTTCAGCATGTTAACCTGCATGTAAAGATTGTCAGCATGATATCTCAAGAACCATTCACTGGACTTTCATCATATATGACACCAAGCTTTATCTAGGGAAGGTGCAAGTTCCAGTCGATTTTGGTGACCTTCACATGATCTTCAAGGTCACAGCGACACTTTGAAGATTTCAGCATCTTAAACTGCATGTTAAGATTGTCATCGAGATATCTCAAGAACACTTCACTGGATTTTCTTCATAGACTTTCAAGACTTCCCTTGAATGTTTTTCAATAAACAATTTCTTTATTACTATTTTTGCATATTTCATACACTAAGACATTCATGTCAAGGTCAAAGTGAGTCTTGAAAATATTTGTGCCTTTCAACAACTACAGAGCAAGATATCAAGATAGGTTGACTGGTCATGTTTTTGTTTACATTTAACTTCATCTTAAATTACGACCTTCACTTTCATTACTTTTTAAGTTTGATTTGATAATTTGCGGCGGGGGATTATGTCACCTTAGTGACAATGCTTGTTCAACTGGTATTTTTGTTGTTGGTTCACTCAAGCCCTGGACATATGTTGGTTTAGTCAATCAGTCATGGTTGTGGTACAATTTGTGATGTGTGTCCCCAGCTGTGATATCCGAGCTTGAAATGAATTTGAACCAGCTAGTCCTGCAGAGATTTTTATGTTGTGCTCATTGTTCAGCATGTCTGCTTGCCCTACAGTCCAGGGCCTCCTTTCACAAAGCACAAAGGTGATCGTAAGTCACCAAGCTAACCTTATGACTGCTGGTCCAGATGTTAAAGAATGGGGAGTTTGCTGAGTCGCGGTAAAACTAAACTCACTCACTAAAGGTTCTAAGGTGATCGTGAAGTCACTAAGGTAACCTTAGCACAATGTTAAAGAATGGGAGTTAAGTAACCTTAGTAAAGGTTGCTTCGTGAAAGGAACCCCATATGTATAGCCCAAGCAAAATGTTTGAATTGTCACCATTATACATTCCACATCAGCAACAGCAAGCAGATTTTTTTAAATGACAAAAATTATGATGTGAAATTTACCTCCTTTGCTGCACTTCTGCATGATGAAAGTTATTGCTATTTTTATGCAATATTTTTGACATGTGTAAAACCCTCCTAACTGCCAGGTGACTTTGGTTAATAACTGTCGAACCGCAATACAGAAAACTGAGTCATGACTCTTGGATCAGAAAACTAAAAACTAAACGAAGCGTCTGTAAAATATCATTAAATTCTGATTAATTATTCATGACAATTTTCTTTTCCAAGAATATTACACATGTTACAGCCTGTTATTAAATAAAATATCCATCAATCCACCATTAGTTGATTGCTTCTCTTTGGTTGTGAGAGGAAATGTTGATGGAAGCTGCTCTGTCTTCAGTGATTACCGAGACCAGGGTCTGACCCGGCCTAAGGTGCTGATGGTGCTTCCCTTCCGAGAGTCGGCTCTCCGAGTGGTCAACATCATGTCCAGCTTGTTGGCACCCGCGGAACAGGTAATGTCATTATGTGCAGCGTTGATCCCTGCCTGAAGCTTGGCATTGATGGGTACAACAGGACTGGTCGGCTCGGATCTTCCTTGTGTTGTGTGATCGCCTATGTGACCTGTTCCTTATCATTTTTGAATAATCACAGGATGACTTAAGGCTAGGGTTGTCAGACAGGGAATTCACTGTGTTAGAATCTGTATCTATTCCTGTCTCTTTCATCAAATAACAGGGCATAAGAGTTCAGATGATTACCACGAATGTGATCCTCAGGCTCTCAACAGGCCATTCCAGAGTGAACCATATTTAAGACATTTTGAGCTTTCCTCATGCTTTAAACTGACACGCTGCCATGTGTACTGATCAAGGTCATGTAAAGTCCAACTCACTCACTCATTGAGTATGAGATGGTGAGGTAGCCTAGTGGTTGAAGTGTTTGCTCTTCATGTCAATGCCTGGGTTCAAGTCTTCACGATGCCTATTTCTGATGCCCCCTGTTGTGATATTTGCTTCAATATTGCTAAACGCAGCATAAAACTCTCTTTCATAAACTCACCCACTCATCCACTTACCCAAAACCTGTAACCTGCTGCCTGCTACATTCTGTTGTGTGATGCCAGTGTAAACCTGTTGTGTCATCAGGTGATGGTGAGCAGCAAGAAGAGGTTCAAGTCTGAGTATGGAGCAGAAGATGAAGACAACTACAGAAAAGGCCTCAAACCAGGTAGGACAACAATCACAGGACATGCGCCCTGAAATATTCACAGGACATGCACCCTGAAACATTCACAGGGCATGCACCCTGAAACATTCACAGGACATGCACCCTGAAACATTCACAGGGCATGCACCCTGAAGCACAATCACAGGGCATGCACCCTGAAACATTCACAGGACATGCACCCTGAAACATTCACAGGACATGCACCCTGAAACATTCACAGGACATGCACCATGAAACATTCACAGGACATGCACCCTGAAACATTCACAGGACATGCACCCTGAAACATTCACAGGACATGCACCCTGAAACATTCACAGGGCATGCACCCACCCTGAACATTCACAGGGCATGCACCCTGAAACATTCACAGGGCATGCACCCTGAAACATTCACAGGGCATGCACCCATGGAAGCACACCCTGAAGCATGATGCAACATTCACAGGGCATGCACCCATGAAACATTCACAGGACATGCACCAGCGCCCACATGAAACATTCTGGGGACATGCACCATGAAACATTCACAGGACATGCACCCTGAAACATTCACAGGGCATGCACCCTGAAACATTCACAGGGCATGCACCCTGAAACATTCACAGGACATGCACCCTGAAACATTCACAGGGCATGCACCCTGAAACATTCACAGGACATGCACCCTGAAACATTCACAGGGCATGCACCCTGAAACATTCACAGGACATGCACCCTGAAACATTCACAGGGCATGCACCCTGAAACATTCACAGGGCACATGCACCCTGAAACATTCAGGACAGGGGGACATGCACCCTGAAGGGCAGCATGAAACATCACAGGACATGCACCCTGAAACATTCACAGGGCATGCACCATGCACATTCACAGGACATGCACCCTGAAACATTCACACATGCACCCTGAAACATGCACCCTGGAAACAAACAGGGCATGCACCCTGAAACACATTCACAGGGCATGCACCCTGAAACATTCACAGGGCATGCACCCTGAAACATTCATTGCACCCTGAGGGCATGCACCCTGAAACATTCACAGGGCATGCACCCTGAAGGGCACATTCACAGGGACATGCACCACTGAAACATTCACAGGGCATGCACCCTGATGAAACATTCACAGGGCATGCACCCTGAAACATTCTACAGGGCATGCACCCTGAAATATTCACAGGGCATGAAACATTCACCATGGGCATGCACCCTGAAACATTCATGCATGCACCCTGAAACATTCACAGGACATGCACCTGAAACATTCACAGGACATGCACCCCTGATGAAACATTCACAGGGCATGCACCCTGAAACATTCACAGGACATGCACCCTGGAACCCTGCCCTCACAGGAATGCACATTCACAGGGCATGCACCCTGAAACATTCACAGGACATGCACCCTGAAACATTCACAGGACATGCACCCTGAAACATTCACAGGACATGCACCCTGATGAAAAACATTCACAGGACATGCACCATGAAACATTCACAGGGCATGCACCATGAAACATTCACAGGACATGCACCCTGAAACATTCACAGGGCATGCACCCTGAAACATTCACAGGACATGCACCATGAAACACAATCACAGGGCATGCACCCTGAAACATTCACAGGGCATGCACCCTGAAACATTCACAGGGCATGCACCCTGAAACGCACAATCACAGGACATGCACCCTGAAACATTCACAGGACATGCACCCATGAAACATTCTACAGGGCATGCACCCTGAAACATTCACAGGACATGCACCCTGAAACATTCACAGGACATGCACCCTGAAACACATTCACAGGGCATGCACCCTGAAACATTCACAGGGCATGCACCCTGAAACATTCACAGGGCATGCACCCTGAAACATTCACAGGGCATGCACCCTGAAACATCATTCACAGGACATGCACCCTGAAACATTCACAGGGCATGCACCCTGAAACATTCACAGGGCATGCACCCTGAAACACATTCACAGGGCATGCACCCTGAAACATTCACAGGACATGCACCCTGAAACATTCACAGGGCATGCACCCTGAAACATTCACAGGGCATGCACCATGAAACACAATCACAGGACTGCCATATAGCTGGAATATTGCTGAGTTCCATAAAACAACAAACCAACTACAATCACAGGAAATATGCCCTGAAACACTTCTCAGCAAGTGTTCTCAGTGGTTCAGTGTCATTCAGTGTTTACTCTTTCTGTGGAACAAAGCACTGTAGTTTTGTAATTTATTTACAGAGGACTTTGAGTCATTGTTCACTGGAAACAACGATGACCATTTCCGCCTGGGAATATCGGTGGCCAAGAGGTCCCTGAAGCTGTATGTGCCTTTCTACCAGTCAGACATCATCCTGGCTTCACCACTTGGCCTCCGGACCATCATAGGAGCTGAGGGGTAGGTACCGGACTGGCAGACGTCTCCCATGCCCTAAACCTGGCCATTACCCAGTCCTCACCAATGACATCAATCATCATAGCAGGTGCCCCTTCACCAGGGTTTCTACTACCTCCCCTGGGTCTGGGGATCGTAGATACTGGGGGGGACCGCCTCCGTGGTGTAGTGGATAGAGCGTCCGCCCGGAGAGAGGAAGGTCGCGGGTTCGATCCCTGACCGCATTATACCAAAAGACGTTAAGATATGGTACTTGTTGGGTCCCTGCCTGGTGCTCGGCATTAATGGGTACAACAAGGACTGGTCGGCTCGGAGTCAGTATAATGTGTCTGAGTGGGGTATTCATGCTTCACTGCGGCATGGTATCTCAGTGGGCTAGCACTATAAAACCAGCTTAAGTCTGGGCTAGTACAAGCAGCCGCACATACACATACACACGCATGCACATTGTCATATGAGCAAAATATTCTCAAGCACGACATAAAACCCAATTTCACCTCACCAGATACTGGGGGATACATAGATCCATGACCACATTACTCATGTCCCCCTGGACCATCCTGAGAACTGAAAAGCCACATTGTTAAAGATGATACATGAAGATTTTCGATCTTTCAGAGAGAAAGACCGGGACTATGACTTCTTGTCCTCCATTGAGCTACTCATCTTTGACCAGGCAGATGTCTTCCTCATGCAGAATTGGGACCATATCTTGGTAGGCAATATACAGGTTATAGAATGTCTTCCTCATGTAGAACTGGGACCATATCTTGGTAGGCAATATACAGGTTATAGAATGTGGGTGCATGTGTCATGCTGAAGACCTGAGTACGATTCCCCACATGGGTACAATATGTGAAGCCCATTTCAGGTGACTCTTGTCATTATATTGCTGGATAAAGCGGTGTAAAACTTTATCCTAACTCACTAACTCACTATAGAATGTGACCCTATGCAGAATGGGTACGATGTCTTGGTCAGGTATATACTGACTTTTTATGTCTTCCTCATTATCTTTGTGATCTGTGGGACTATGAATTATTTAATCCAAGCAAACAAATGTTTCAGGATCTGTATATTTAGGGAGAGTTATTCAGTTGAACGTTTTCTCAACTGGTCCTCATTATGAGTCTGTTGTCTGATTACAGCACCTGTTCAAGCATCTGCATCTTCAGCCTAAGGAGAGCCATGGTGTCGACTTCTCCCGTGTGCGAATGTGGACTCTCAGTGGATGGTATGTAGCCCATGTGTAGTATTGGCAATCATCTTATTGATGTAGTAACCCTGGAGGAATCCATATGTCAGAAAAGACCGCCTCTGTGGTGTAGTGGTTAGAGCGTCCGCCCGGAGAGCGGAAGGTCACGGGTTCGATCCCCGACCGCGTCATACCGAAAGACGTTAAAATATGGTACTTGTTGGTCCCTGCCTGGCGCTCGGCATTAATGGGTACAACAAGGACTGGTCGGCTCGGAGTCAGTATAATGTGTCTGAGTGGGGTATTCATGCTTCACTGCGGCATGGTATCTCAGTGGGCTAGCACTATAAAACCAGCTTCAGTCTGGGCTAGTACAAGCAGCCGCACATACACATACACACGCATGCACGTCGTCATATGAGCGAAATATTCTCCAGCGTGACGTTAAACCCAATTTCACCTCACCTCACCTAAGTCAGAAAAGCTTCTCAGTGCCTCACACATGTTGGAAAATCAGCTGGTTAAAATGTCTTCTAGAGGAATGTTGCAAGTGTTACCTACAACTGCTTTACCTGGCTGTAACTCTATTCATCCTACAAACGGGGCATTGGGGTAGTCCGGTGGTTAAAGAGTTCGCTCATCACGCCAAAGACCTGGGTTTGATTCCACACATGGAAACAATGTGTGAAGCCCATTTCTGGTGTCCCTTGCCATGATATTGCTGGAATATTGCTAAAAGCTGTGTAAAACCATACTCACTCACATCAGATATAGAACTATAACTGTTGTAGTGGATAGTAGTACCCACCCTGACTGCTGCAGTGAAATCAGTGAGGAAGGTTGTCGGTTGTTTTCCTCCTCTGCTAGACAAGACTGTGTGTGAACTGTATTGTTCTGTTGTATCCAGGTCTCACCTGTATCGCCAGTCACTCATCTTCAGCGCGGTGCCCACTCCAGAGATCAATGCCGTCTTCAACAAGTATTGTCATAGTATCCTTGTTTCCAATGCTGGATTTGAGCATATCGTCTGTTATGGGTTTAAACTACCCGTTTAAATTTAGAAACTAGCCAGACCACCTAATTGCTCAGATAACTTAGTTTTTTGTCAGTTTATGATTTACAAAGTAGTCTTCAGTGTTACATTGTAAAATGGTTCGTATCTTTTTCTAAATTATGACCATATTGATATGAATCTACTGTTATAATTGATCATCAGTAACCCATGCTTGTCGTAAGAGACGACTAACCGGGTCGGGTGGTCAGTCTCGCTGGCTTGGTTGACACATGTCATTGTATCCCAATTGCGTAGAATGATGCGCATGATGTTGATCACTGGATTGTCTGATCCAGATTTCATTATTTACAGACTGCCACCATATAGCTGGAATATTGCTGAGTGAGGCATAAGCAAACTCATTAACATATTTTCTTTCTTAATGTACTTCATTCGAAGTTCACTTCTTCAGAATACCGGTATATTCACAAATTTGTCGAAGCAAAACACATTGCACTTTAAGTCAGTGTCCAATTGGGTTCACTGTTTTCCTTCATGCTGTGTTAGACTATGCAGGGAAGGTACAAGTTTGTCGAGAGCCAGGAAATGGAGTCATCTGCCAGATCATCACTCAGACCCCACAGGTAGGTCCCAGCTTGAGGCTGGAGCCATGCATGGAGAAGTATTGAGATACATAGTCACCTAGTACTGGGAATACCGGGACGGGTCCAAACATGTGGAAACCATACTTGCTACAAACCTGGAAATTTGTTCCATGACAAGATAATGTAATCGATTAAGATGCAATTGTATGTGAGTGAGCATTTAATACTGAGTCTGCAATATCGTATCTATGTCCCAGCAGTATGTAAATAATAAATTTGAAGCATAAATACTGATCAGAAATTTTTTTTTTATGGCAACATCTTTGACTATTGAAAATAGGGTTAGTGCTTGTTTCTTTATGTTCAATATATTTGAAAATAATTATGTCATTTGGGTGAATTGTCTTTCTTCATCAGTAACTTTTTTGCCGAATTTAGGATCATAAGGATCAGTACCTGTACAGCAGATGGACATTCGACCATTGCATGTAATGTTTGTATACATCGTGTTCCCCAGACTTTCCAGAAGATAAGCTGCATGTCCTTCACCCAGCTGGCTGACACACGGTTTGACTTCTTCATAAAGAAGGTGAGTGCTAACACCCATCATGTTTGGTTCTCATTAATAGCAAATTTGATGTCATATTTAGACAATTCCTGTAGTTAACACACCCCTGTTTGGGGTCCAGGGTCCTGAGCCACCAAGCCTTTGTAGCACTACAACATTCGTAAGCCTATGAGAAACTATAGAGTTACGACAGGTCTTACCGTTACGAATGCTTTGTGGATTGGGAACCAGTTCTCCAGGGGCTTGGGTTTGTCTACACCAAAGCCATATTGGTTTGAGTTGTGGTGTCACTGTCTGGCTAAAGGGTTTCCTTGTCTCTTGCAGCTAGTTCCCCACCATAGGGACCCTGTGATGAATCGAACTCTTGTGTACATCCCATCCTACTTCCGACTTTGTTCGCATAAGGAACCACTTCAGGAAAGAAGGCGTCAACTTCGTGCACATGAGCGAGTAAGATGGCTGCAAATCATTATCCTTCAGCTTGAGGAATTCAAAGAGTTCTAAATTGATGTAAACATAGACATAAACTAGCCCTTCAGTTTGTAAGTTGTTACTTCCAACTTTGATCTTGATTTTAGTGCCAAATTTAGTCGGGGCGGTGGCGTAGCCAAGTGGTTAAAGCGTTCGCTCGTCACACTGAAGGCCTGGGTTTGATTCCCCACATGGGTACAACTTGTGAAGCCCATTTCTGGTGTCCCCCGTCGTGATATTGCTGGAATATTGCTAAAAAACAGCGTAAAACCATACTCAGCCAGCCAGTCAGCCAAATTGTGTCATCAACTACAAATCCATACCTGTGTGTCTTTGTAGACTGCCACTGTCCAAATAACATTAGTTCCAGTTGATTGTGAAGACATCTTGTTGTCCCTTCATCCCTTGTCCTTACAAACTTCATACAGCCCCTTGAAAGATCCAAACATGGCTGTTCTTACATAACCATCACAGTACATCTTTCACTCTGTTCTCTCTTCAGGTATGCGACAGACAAGGGCATATCAAGAGTGAGGTGTGACTTCTTTCATGGCAAGGCCCAGTTTCTACTGTACACGGAACGGCTGCACTTCTACCGAAGGCAAGTCCTTGAGCAAGCCCATCACATGCCTGCTCTTAAACCTGAAATATAGGTTCTGTGTTTGCAGACCCAGAAAACTGAAGATTTAAGAACAGGAAGTAGAAACCTGTTTGGTGACTAGCTTCCATGAGATAACATGGATGACAGTATGTTAAACATGAACCGTCAAGTTAAACATTTCCTATCAATTTATACACAAGAGCTGTTGCATTAAAATATCAATTTGCCACTCCCTTGCAAAACAAAACAAAACAAAAGCGTCTATCCTCTTTTATCCTTTTTGAAAGATTCCCTTGAAAAGGCTTTGTTCTAAGTAGTAAACATGGATACTTTGTCATTCTGTGATTTAGAATCCAATGACAAAGTTGCGGGATCAACATGTGGGTTTGTTGTCAGAGATGACTAACAGGATTGGGTGGTCAGGCTTGCTGACTTGGTTGACACATGTCACCGTATCCCAACTGCGTAGATCAATGCTCATGCTGTTTATCACTGGATTGTCTGGTCCAGACTTGATTATTTACAGACCACTGCCACATAGCTGCAATATTGCTGAGTGCAGCGTTAAACAACAATCAAACTGTGTAGCAAGAAGTCTATATGACAATTGCCTGTAGGGAGCAATTGTAATAATTCCAGCTAATTTCTAGCTTGTGGTGGCATGACTGGATTAAACAGCCTTCACTCCCCTTTATAGGCTCTTCTTTTGTACTCCCCAGGTTCAGGATACGAGGGATCAAACACATAGTGTTCTATGACCTGCCTACCTATCCTCACTTCTATACGGAAATGTGCAATATGATCAAAGACCCCAAGCGTGGGATAGAGAACAAGGCGGCAACATGCACGACTATCTACTCCAAGTATGATGCCCAGAAGCTAGCAGAGGTCGTGGGTGCAGAGAGAACTGCCATCATGTTGAACTCTGAGAAATCTGTTCATATGTTCGTCACTGGAGAAAACAGCTGATCTTCAACATAAGTGGTACAACGGTTAGACTAATGTTGTCAATATGGCTGTGAATAATGGGGCTCTTCTGAGGCACTGGGGGGAAAATGTTGATGGGAAGAGAAGGGACATAACTCTTGTGAGACCAAGTGTTCATGACCACAGAAAGGTGGCCGATAAAGTTCATTGCAAGGACTAACGGTGCTTGAAGTACCGTGATACTGCAGTATATTGCCTTCGTGGTGGCTGTGCGACTCACTGTGTCAAGATGTTGTGAAGATTGCCTTCAGAATCCCATGTTTGTTGTGACAGGATCGGGTGGTCAGGCTTGCTGACTTTGTTGACATGGAACACTCTGGTTCATCTACCCACATGTTACTGCCTGAATATTACTCATTCAGTCCTGTGTGTCAAGTACGTCCATGAAGGATGTACAAATGCCTAGAGACTTCTGATTATGCTGACTTAACACATTTTACAAGTATAGGAAGAAAAATATCCCTTTTCATGTACTACTGAAATTGTCCATCCAACTAAAATCATAACAACTGACTGTTCCTATCCTGTTTCACTGAAAGGTTATCTAATTGATACTGTTTGAGACCCCAAAACACCAGCTTGATCAGTCTATCCACATGACACTATTGTGAATGTGTGTAGTAGTTTACAGTGGCAATTCAGACTATAAGAAATGTCCCTCGATTGTTACTACTCCTTGTGTAGAATGGTATCTGATGTACATAGAGGGGACTCTACATGTGAATATGTATTTGCAAGTGTATAAAGTTTAACACTTCCCATAGATATTTGTTGTTTTTCTTAACCATAAGCGTAAAAAGCTTTAGTTTCATGACTAGATGTTTTACTCTGCACTGGCAGATACAGCTTTTTGAGAAAGGGGGGTGCACAGTTAATTTTCACCGTTTTCAGGAGAGTTTCAGTGTCATTTAATAAACTTTCAGGACAAAAGGGGGGTGGGCATCCCCCTCTGGATCAGCCTATGGTCTGTTAAAAGATTCCAAATGGTGCTTTAGTTTATGGAGGTTAGTTTGGAAGTAGTCCAGCGTTGAATGTCAGTCAGAAAAGGATTTTCAAAACATTTTGCTGAGAAGCCATTGAGTGTAGTTTACAACAGTCTTCCTGCCCACATGGGCACAGTGTGTGAAGTCCATATCGTGTGTAGATACTGTAATGTTGCTTTAAGTGGTGTAAGACAATACTTATATACCCAGCAGTCTCCAGATAGATAGTGATCAGAGTTGGCCCTGTTCCCATCTCTAGAAAGATGGTGATGGGTCGGCCCTGTTCCCATCTCCAGACAGATGGTCATCAAGGTCGGCCCTGTTCCCATCTCCAGACAGATGGTCATCAAGGTTGGCCCTGTTCCCATCTCCAGACAGATGGTCATCAAGGTTGGCCCTGTTCCCATCTCCAGACAGATGGTCATCAGGGTTGGCCCTGTTCCCATCTCAGACAGATGGTCATCAGGGTTGGCCCTGTTCCCATCTCCAGACAGATGGTCATCAGGGTTGGCCCTGTTCCCATCTCCAGACAGATGGTCATCAGGGTTGGCCCTGTTCCCATCTCCAGACAGATGGTCATCAAGGGTTGGCCCTGTTCCCATCTCCAGACAGATGGTCATCAGGGTTGGCCCTGTTCCCATCTCCAGACAGATGGTCATCAGGGTTGGCCCTGTTCCCATCTCCAGACAGATGGTCATCAAGGGGGTCCCTGTTCCCATCTCCAGATAGATGGTTGGCCCTGTTCCATCTCCAGATAGATGGTCATCAGGGTTGGCCCTGTTCCCATCTCCAGATAGATGGTCATCAGGGGTTGGCCCTGACCCATCTCCAGATAGATGGTCATCAGGGTTGGCCCTGTTCCCATCTCCAGACAGATGGTCATCAGGGTTGGCCCTGTTCCCATCTCCAGACAGATGGTCATCAGGGTTGGCCCTGTTCCCATCTCCAGACAGATGGTCATCAGATTGGCCCTGTTCCCCATCTCCAGATAGATGGTCATCAGGGTTGGCCCTGTTCCCATCTCCAGACAGATGGTCATCAGGGTTGGCCCTGTTCCCATCTCCAGACAGATGGTCATCAGGGTTGGCCCTGTTCCCATCTCCAGATAGATGGTCATCAGGGTTGGCCCTGTTCCCATCTCCAGACAGATGGTCATCAGGGTTGGCCCTGTTCCCATCTCCAGATAGATGGTCATCAGGGTTGGCCCTGTTCCCATCTCCAGATAGATGGTCATCAGGGTTGGCCCTGTTCCCATCTCCAGATAGATGGTCATCAGGGTTGGCCCTGTTCCCATCTCCAGATAGATGGTCATCAGGGTTGGCCCTGTTCCCATCTCCAGATAGATGAGTGAGTGAGTGGTTGGCCCTGTTCCTGTTCCCTATTTTAGTTTTACGCCGCACTCAGCAATATTCCAGCTATATGGCGGCGGTCTGTAAATAATCGAGTCTGGACCAGACAATCCAGTCATCAACAGCATGAGCATCGATCTGCGCAATTGGGAACCGATGACATGTGTCAACCAAGTCAGCGAAACTGACCACCCGATCCCGTTAGTCGCCTCTTACGACAAGATAGTCGCCTTTTTATGGCAAGCACATGGGTTGCTGAAGACCTATTCTACCCCGGATCTTCACGGGTCTCCAGATAGATGGTCATCAGGGTTGGCCCTGTTCCCATCTCTAGATTGATTCTCATCAGGGTTGGCTCTGTTCCTCTCTCCAGATAGATGTTCATCAGGATGGGATCATCCTAGTCTGAGTGCACTTGGTGGACAGACTGGAAAACGTCCTTATTGTGATTATATCTTTTACATTTCTTCCAAATATGATTTTCCTTTATTCGGAGGCATGTTTATGTTGCATGTAGCGATGTATGATGAGCATTGCCCCATCTTCATCTTTACTGGCTGGGAGCGGTGGGGTAGCCTAATGGATGAGGCATTCGCTCCTCATGCCGAAGACCTCGGTTCGATTCCCCACATGGGTACAATGTGTGAAGCCCATGTCTGGTGAGCCCATAAAGGATGACTAGTATGTTAGGAACATACATTTCTTGGGTGTCTTTAAGATAAATTCAATCATGACTTGGAATGAGCTTGTAGTGCTCATGAAATGTAACACACAAAACCAACCTTGTGAAAAATATTGTTAATGCAAAAAGTGTTCCAGAATTGTTTGTGTTCGATTATGAGAAAACATGATCGATTGTTTGGTCGTTTAGTCACTGCGACCAATCTTCAATTAATCGAACCGCCACTAGTTGATCACTGGATTGTCTATTCCAGATTACATTACCCGTGAAGGTCCGGGTTAGAATATGGTTGACACATGTCATCGGTTCCCAATTGCGCAGATCGATGCTCATGCTGTTGATCACTGGATTGCCCGGTCCAGACTCGATTATTTACAGACCCCCGCCATACAGCTGGAATATTGCTGCCTGCCTCAAACAACACACAAATCTTCACTGGTCCTGTTATCGGTGAAATACATGTCACCTTGCCCAACCATCACGTTAGGTGTAACTTACAGCAGGAAGAGGGAAATTTATTTGATTTCAAAAGGGATTATTTTGCTGACATTTCCTGCAGAATGTGGGGCCTGTCAGCCACTGAGCATGTCCTGATAAACCCCTCCTGTGTGTCTGTCAGTGCCATCACATAGTAGACATCCCTGGTGTATGTCGTGGGGGTAGTCACTGGCAGCTGAGGCTGGATATGGATGCATGGGCGGAGACATCGTCTCGTCCCTGCTGCTAGCAACACATACAATACTGGTCAACTATTTCCGCTGTGTGATGTGTGTAGGATCAGGCCCTGTGGTGAAATAATGTGCAACAATGGCAACCACTGTCACACTGAATAGTGACAAGTTTGTGGAATGACTGGCATTTCAGGATTGTCATTCTCAAATACCTGGGTACCCAATTTAAAAGGAGATATAAACTTGTGGAAAATGCGGTCAGCGACGTGGTTTTGTTGGAGTATTGTTAAAATCGACTCCCACATTCTCTTCCAAATACCTGGTGGTTTCGTAGTCATAGGCGCGGCAATTTGCAGTTCAGAGTTGTTGCATCCTTTGGGCACACCAGAAATGTTTGATTGTAGGTTCTAAAGTTGGTTCGCGCTGAATATGTTTCTAGGTTTGTCAGCGCTTTACAGTTGAGTGTGGGATTCGCTAAAGTGGTAAATGTCCCAGACGTCCATTAAGATTTCACCAGACAGTAATTTAGCTGACACGCCGAGTTACAACTAGAATATGACCACCTCCGTGGTGTAGTGGTTAGAGCGTCCGCCCGGAGAGCGGAAGGTCGCGGGTTCGATCCCCGACCGCGTCATACCAAAAGACGTTAAAATATGGTACTTGTTGTTCCCTGCTCGGCCAGGCAGGGGTAAAACAGTGGGTACAACAAGGACTGGTCGGCTCGGAGTCAGTATAATGTGTCTGAGTGGGGTATTTATGCTTAACTGCGGCATGGTATCTCAGTGGGCTAGCACTATAAAACCAGCTTATGTCTGGCAAGCAGCCGCACCTACACATACACACGCATGCACGTCGTCATATGAGCGAAATATTCTCAAGTACAACGTTAAACCCCGCTTCACCTCACCTACAACTAGAATACCCTCAAGCGGCCTTAATATAAACCCAACTCCCTCAACTGCTCTTCCCAACAGCATTACACACAAAAACCAGTTCTGACAATGAATTTATTGACATGGTATGAATGACACTAGTATGGAAACAAGATAAAAATTATTGCACATGGTCAGAGTATTTCAGCACATATTAAAAATATAAAAAGTATTAAAGACAAAATAAACAGTCTGAAATAAATACTTACAAAGTGGACGGAAGAAAAATTTACACCTGCTTTCACTCGGTCTCTCACACATAATTTACAAATATAATATCTATGATTATTCACATCATAAACACAAGGCAGTATGGAATGTTTTGACAAGACTGGCCAGTCACTGATGGCAGCAGCAGTCGCCAGCAGCAGCAACAACAGTAATTGAAGACTTTCGTACATTCTGAGAGATGTTCTTCATATCAACATTATTCTTCACGATGTCATTAAATAGAATGAACAAAGATTCTTGTTCAATGTAAAGGCAGTGGAAAGCAGTTTGAATTAATTTTAAGGTTAGTTTTAGGATATTATTTGGTTGTTCGTCGCACTTTAAGTCCAAACAATGCTTCGTGTTCTTTACGCACTTGAAGTAAGCATTCAGTAATATAGATTATCATGGGGCTATGTGCTTTTGTATTACCCAAGGAAACATTAAAAACTTTTAAATTGGTGTCATGGAGTTTTGTAAAATGATCGCACAGCTTCTTGTGCACATGTCAATCTGGACTATCTGCGGGCGATAGCGGTTCTGCGCACTGGTGTCCCGAGAATGCCTAGCAACTGGAAACCTGTCTACTTCTGCTGTTGCACTTCCGGTCTACAAGCCGTGCTCTAGTAGTGAATGGAAACGCGGATATTCAAGCTGTTCCTTATCGGGTATCCTAGCAGATTTCTTCAAGTAATGTACAGGTTGTACGAGCAAGCAAACATGTTCAGATGTCATTAATAAAACTATCGCGCATTGATTGGATGTTATGCACAAAGTCGTTTCGACAATTTGGTCTGTATGAAACGCACTCCACATGAAAACCAACATCTCGTCTTTAAAGTCTCCGTCGTCTGAATACGCATGTCTGACAACAGTACTTCCTCACGGCTCTGCGGCGACAGACGCGCGGGTTGACTTTTATCAGCCCCTCGCAATATGTTTTGTTCTGGTCGGCAAGGCATTGTCCTGCAAAGAAACATATATACCATTGAACAGGAAGGCCTGAATTACTGGAGTAGCTTTTATTGTTTAATACAGTGAGAGAGTGAGTATGGTTTTATGCCGCTTTTAGCAATATTCTAGCAATATCACGACGGGGGACACCTAAAATGGCCTTCACACATTGTACCCATGTGGGGAATCGGACGCTTTAACCACTAGGCTACCCCACTGCTCCTACCTTAATCAGCCGACTACTATCAGGAATGGACCATCAAAAGGCAAAGCAATGGGAGCAACTATCATGCTATCCACTACTGGCTACCCTGGCCCATCGTAATATTGTTACATTATCACTATTATCGTGATATCGTTTCCTTAATGGCGTTGAGCAAAACTAGTGAAAATTAAATCTAATGATACATGTGCCATTGCAGCACATTTTGTGCTGTAGATTCTAATGTTATATCGTATCTGATCAAATTTCTTCTTTTTTTTATACATATAAATACTAGTTGCACCCTCCTTACCTCTCTGTTTTGACGATCGTCCCCTGTTGCGGCCCCTTCTTCCGCCGGAAATCCTGCTGAGTTGTCGTCTGCTGTTGTTCTGACGTCTGCGACCCTGACGGTTGCCTGGCCGTCTCAATCTGGACGTTCTTCGGTTGGTACTCTGACGACGGTTGGTCTGTGACGGTGTTCTAGATATCTGCATTCTACCAGTTGGGCGTCGTCCGTATGGATTTGTTTGGCAAACACCTAGATGACACACCTGCAAAGACGTAATAAAAACGGATACTTATCATTGCTGGGTCGCTATGTCCATCGTTATATATCCTTGCAGTCCCCACCTTTACATTTGAAAACTAATGACGCTCCGATATCTACCCACCTTGCCCTCTCCATTACTACCCCTAAACCTTGTTACACCCCGATATCTACCCACCTAACCCTTGTTATACCCCGATATCTACCCACGTAACCCTTGTTACACAACGATATCTACCCACCTAACCATTGTTATACCCCGATATCTAACGACGTAACCCTTGTTACACCCTGATATCTACCCACCTAACCCTTGTTACACAACGATATCTACCCACCTTGCCCTCCCAATCACTACCCCTAAACCTTGTTACACCCTGATATCTACCCACCTCACCCATGTTACACAACGATATCTACCCACCTTGCCCTTGCTACATCCCGATATCTACCCACCTTGCCCTCTCCATCACTACCCCTAAACCTTGTTACACCCCGATATCTACCCACCTAACCCTTGTTATAACACGATATCTACCAACCTAACCCTTGTTATACCCCGATATCTACCCACCTAACCCTTGTTACACAACGATATCTACCCACCTTGCCCTTGCTACAGCCCGATATCCACCTACCTTGCCCTCTCCATCACTACCCCTAAACCTTGTTACACCCTGATATCTACCCACCTAACCCTTGTTACACAACGATATCTACCCACCTTGCCCTTGTTACAGCCCGCTATCCACCCACCTTGCCCTCTCCATCACTACCCCTAAACCTAGTTACACCCTGATATCTACCCACCTAACCCTTGTTACACAACGATATCTACCCACCTTGCCCTTGTTACACCCCGATATCTACCCACCTAACCCTTGTTATACCCCGATATCTACCCACGTAACCCTGGTTATACCCCGATATCTACCCACCTCGCCCTTGTTACACCCTGATATCTACCCACCTTGCCCCTGTTACAGCCCGCTATCCACCCACCTTGCCCTCTCCATCACTACCCCTAAACCTTGATACGACCCGATATCTACCCACCTTACCCTTGTTACAACACGATATCTACCCACCTTGCCCTTGTTACAGCCCGCTATCCACCCACCTTGCCCTCTCCATCACTACCCCTAAACCTTGATACGACCCGATATCTAACCACCTTGCCCTTGTTACAACACGATATCTACCCACCTTGCCCTCCCGACACGTGGTTCCTGGCAGCGCTGTGAGGTACGAGTGGGTGCGGCAGGTGAGTCCATTCTCCGGGTCCTTGCACCACAGCTGACCACACATGACCATCTTCAGGTTCTTAGTCTGTGGAGAACAAATGGATTCCATAACCATGTATTTTCATTACGTTTAAGCGTCAACACAAAGACATTAACGTAACCATTTTTGGTCAGAGACCAAATGAGAGCTTAGCGCGATGTGTGACAGACATCTCTGACAGTCATTTCACAACGTCGTGTTGAATTTTGATGTGTCGAATACGGTTGTCTCCAAGCAAAAACGTCCCTTGTTCTTTATTCATCGATCTTCGGTTGTACCAAAAGTTGGATAACTCGAATAATGTACCAAGGTCCCTTCAAAACTAGTTGTTGATTAATGAAATGAACAAAACCCAACATTACTCACGAATAAACACCAAAGGCCCAGAATGTCACTCTCTTTATATCCTACTTTTATCGAATTATTTTGTATCATATTTTGATTGTACTTATGTTTATCTTCGGAAGTATATTTAGTTTTAACTTATTTCGGGGGTGTTTAAATCCCCACCAAAAAGTATATTCTGAACATCAAAATCAGTTTGCTGTGCACTCTTACTGTGAACGTAAGGGGCTGCCATAGCATTTGAAGCAAATAACTTATTGGCAGAGCCGTGCTACACATTTCTGGAGTCGGACATAGCTCAGCTCGGAACATTTGAAGCCCAGAGCCCTATTTATCGAAACATGATCATAGAGTTTACACCCACGCTCAAGTCTGAGGCCATTCCTTATTGAACGTACATGCTTGTTGGTCTTACAGCAAAGCTACCAACACGCATGCGCAATCTCTACTAGACACACGATCTTTGAAGAGGGCGCTGATATGCTGAACCAGATAAATGGTGCAATATTTTCACAAGATTTAAACACACAGCCAAAGAACCCAAACCTGCAATCACGTAAATTTCAAGTTTTGGCTGAGTTACCTAATAGCTTTTTCAGGGCTACTGGCAAAACATATGTTTTTGTGCCGAGACGAGTTAGACTTTTGACACAAGTGTTTGCTTGCTTGAAGCAGATTGAGCAAAGATTTGCACATTTTATCCCGACGCGTGTTCTATATAAACAAACTGATTTGTCAAGTTGTAAATTGCTGTGCTGGAACAAATAAATCATAGCAATTTGCAGCTATATAGTTTCAGCTGATACAGTTATTTCCCATCACACCAGTCCAACTACCGCGGCGATCTTGTCCTAAGGAAATAGCCAGGATTATTGTTTCAAACCCTATTCCGGCTCGACATAAAATCACACAGCCGTGAAATTCCACTTGTTTCTTGTGCCAATACTCGAGCAAAATAATTCATTTTATCAAGCATAACTTACCCCGCAGAATTCTGATTTTTTGCCAAATATAAGTTTACACTGTTGATCAGCTGAGTATTTTTGTCCCGGGGGTAGTCTCTGCAGGTTGTACTCGTAGTAGACGGTCGGGGTGTCCCGCACGCATGCCGCCTGTTCTGACCTGCAACAGAGGGATAGACTTGTAACACCGGAATGCCTCATCACGGTGTATGTGCGCCCTGTATATGGGATAGAGGCATTCATAGGCCTGAAGTGTACATACACACTAGGTCATAATGGTGTATACTGTCTTCAGATGTTGAAGTACGGAAGTACAGCACCATCCAATCATCGACAGCAATGGCAACCGATCCAACCAAGTGCCTTCAACCAGCTTTGTGGTTTTGGGTCATCGCGCCGAATATCCGAACTCGAGAATCATGCCGCCATACAGCTGGGTTATAACTAGGTAATGCTATTATCAACCAGTAATGTAACTTTCACAACTTCTTGGACGTTGTTCTCGTGGGTTGCACGAAGGTATAGGTGAGGTGATGTGAAATGGTTTAACGTCGCACTTAAGATTATATCGCTCATGTATGTGTATGTGCGGCTGCTTGTACTAGCCCAGACTGAAGCTGGTATTATAGTGCTAGCTCACTGAGATACCATGCCGCAGTTAAGCGTGAATACCCCACACAGACACATCATACTGACTTCGAGCCGACCAGTCCTTATTGTACCCAGTAATGCCGAGCGCCAGACAGGGGCCAACAAGTACCATATTCTAACGTCTTTTGGTATGACGCGGTCGGGGATCGAACCCAGACCTTCTGCTCTCCGGGTGGACGCTGTAACCACTACAGTACGGAGGCGGTCCCATAAGGTAGAGACGCGCTGTCCTCCTACAAGTTGACAGCCGTGATATGACTTGAATACTGTTAAAAGCGGCGTTAAACCCAACTCATTCACTCACTTTACCACCATGGTCAATGTCTTACCCGAGGAGTTTCTTCATCTGTCGGACGGAGCACGGGGAGAAGTAGAATGCATTCTTGAGTTTATTGTGCTCACTGGTAGTCTGGGGCGCCATGATGAAGTTGTCCTCGGGAGGACAGTCCTTGTTTTCCTTATCCCCGTCGTGGCTGGCTCCCAGGCTGAGGACACAGAACACGAACTTAGACATGTGGAGACAGATGTCAGCTTACACTGTGGTGTGCAGGGTTCATGAATGGGATGTTCAAGGCACCGTTAGATTGTGTAAATAAGAGGGGTAACAACAGTGTCAGCACCACGAACATTTCCCTGCAACAGGATTCTATTCATTACTGTAGGCTGGACAATTGAAAGTGTGCATATGAACCAACAAATACAAGCGTTATTCAAACTTTACTATGCTGAAAATATTGCCGAAACTCGGCAAACTAAGGTTCTGTACTATGATAACCGTCTCAAATTCATCGTCGTCAAAAACGGTTTGTTGTTTGTTTCTGTTTGAGCCAGTCGTTTATACACTACTTTACACATAAAACTGTCTACATATGTTGTTTGTTTCTGTTTGAGCCAGTCGTTTATACACTACTTTACACATAAAACTGTCTACATATGTTGTTTGTTTCTGTTTGAGCTGTTTGAGCCAGTCGTTTATACACTACTTTACACATAAAACTGTCTACATATGTTGTTTGTTTCTGTTTGAGCCAGTCGTTTATACACTACTTTACACATAAAACTGTCTACATATGTTGTTTGTTTCTGTTTGAGCCAGTCGTTTATACACTACTTTACACATAAAACTGTCTACATATGTTGTTTGTTTCTGTTTGAGCCAGTCGTTTATACACTACTTTACACATAAACCTGTCTACATATGTTGTTTGTTTTTCTGTTTGAGCCAGTCGTTTATACACTACTTTACACATAAAACTGTCTACATATGTGTTTGTTTCTGTTATGTTGTTTGTTTCTGTTTGAGCCAGTCGTTTATACACTACTTTACACATAAACTGTCTACATATGTTGTTTGTTTCCAGTGTTTATACACTTTGAGCCAGTCGTTTATACACTACTTTACACATAAACCTGTCTACATATGTTGTTTGTTTCTGTTTGAGCCAGTCGTTTATACACTACTTTACACATAAAACTGTCTACATATGTTGTTTGTTTCTGTTTGAGCCAGTCGTTTATACACTACTTTACACATAAAACTGTCTACATATGTTGTTTGTTTCTGTTTGAGCCAGTCGTTTATACACTACTTTACACATAAAACTGTCTACATATGTTGTTTGTTTCTGTTTGAGCCAGTCGTTTATACACTACTTTACACATAAAACTGTCTACATATGTTGTTTGTTTCTGTTTGAGCCAGTCGTTTATACACTACTTTACACATAAAACTGTCTACATATGTTGTTTTTGTTTCTGTTTGAGCCAGTCGTTTATACACTTTGAAACTGTCTACCAGTCGTTTCTGTTTGATATACACTACTTTACACATAAAACTGTCTACATATGTTGTTTTCTATGATTACACAATGTCATTTTAGAAAGTTTGGTCAGTAACATAAAACTGTCTACATATGTTTGGAGCCATTACACTTTCCTAGTAAATTTTAGAAATAAACTGTCAGCTAGTACTTTGATTCTAGTACTTTTGTTTGGTTGAGTCCTATCCGGGATTCGAACCCACACCCTCAGAGTCAGGCACCTAATCGCCAGCACACAAAGTCAACCGAACAGTACTAGAATCTGTACTTTACTAGGAAAGTGTAATCCCAAATATAACATGTTTGTTGTTTTCGCCTAGGTCCACAATGCGGAACCTCACTATGTAATGGAGTCATACTAAAGTGTTGTTTGACATCTAAAGCGGAATCTACTATTCAGTTGCCATATCATGTGTATCATGTGACAGACACGACAATGACGTCACTGACCTATGTGCCAGCTCGTGGGCGGCGACCTTGACGACCTGGAAGTCCCCTGGGTCTGCGACCATAGATGCGGAGTTGCCGTCACGGGTGTTGCAGACTGAACTAACATAGGCCATACCTAGAGGAAGACAACATCACCATCACCACCATCACCATCACCATCATCATCACCATCACCACCATCACCATCACCATCACCATCCCACACATTTTTTGAAGACGGTACCACTGTAAATACTCAATATTACTTACACCTCTGCCTGTACCCAACTCCATTATATTTTCCCGTTGCTTACTGTAAGGGGGGCGGTGGGGTTGCCTGGTGGTTAAAGCGTTCGCTATTCGAAGACCCGGGTTCGATTTCCCACATGGGTACAATGTGTGAAACCCATTACTAGTATTCCCCGTCATGATATTGCTAATAGCGGCATAAAACCCAACTCACTCACTCACCTTACTGTTTTTCTATATAGCCCCAAAGAAAAGAAGGCTAGATTTTCATCAGGGTGTGTGGGCCTCACTTTTCAGCATAAAAGGAGTCTGTTTGTTATTATAAATATATTTTTTCAGACTTAGCGTTAGTACAAAACTTTTTCTAACGCCTCCATATTAATGACAGAATTGTAATTAGCTGGTTCTCCCTTCCTCATGGAATTTCTGGTATTCCTGTAAACTTCGCGAACAAGCAGTTGTAATAATAGCAGATGGGCGACCCCTCTAAGAAGCCCCCCTTACCATTACTGGTATTACATTGATACAGTATTTATCACTTAAGAGTTGTATACGCATTAGTTATATTGCCCCACCCCACCCCCGTGTGTGTGGTCTTATTCGAGACGTATACCTATCACTACCCATATCTACTTCAGTGATTACGTTAAGTCTTACCTCCGAGGTCGATGCTGGCTTTATTAACCAGGTGATACCTAGAAAAACAACAGAAGTCATTGTAGAAGTGCTATAGATTGTCCTTAGAAATGGATGTGGAACATGCAGATTTATAGTGCCATACTGAGCATACATTTGATAGGAAATGGGTATCACGTTTCACATAAGACTATGAACACATGAAGGTAAAATGCTTCCTGAGCTGGTATCCTCAGTGGAGTTTGAAGCTATAACTTCAATAGGGTTTGAATTCATTTTCTTTGAGCTGGAAGAGTTTGCTTGACATTGTACACGAATATTTAACTAATATTTTATAAAAGAGGTTATAAAAACGCTGTGGTGGGTTGGGGGTTGGGTCGAACCACCTGGAAGCGCCACTGTAATGTACGGCTCACCCTGTGAAGGCCATGGCGTGGTCATATTTGGGCAGGTTCTTCTGGTCCTTCAGCCATTTGATGAAATACTTTAGGGCTTTATGTGCATTGACTCTTCCCTCATCCCGACGTCGGGACCACTGTACTAGATACTCGAGCCATGCGGAATCCTGCCTCGACTGAAACATATATCGTCGTCATCATCATCATCATCAACCATCATCGTCACCATCATCATCAACCATCATCGTCACCACCACCATCATCATCATCATCCCACACATTTTTGAAGACGGTACCACTGTAAATACTCAATCTAACCATCATCGCCACCATTATCATCAACATCATCAACCATCATCATCATCATCATCATCATCATCAGCCATCTCAACCATCATTCATCATCGTCACCATTATCATCATCATTAGTAACCATCATCGTTGTCATTTTCGTCCCCATCATCAACCGCAGCAGAAGCAGCGGGATCATTATTAACAAACACCATCATCATTATTATCATCACCGTCGTTGTAAACATTTCTGCAAACTGTGTCAGCACTTCCAGAACAATCACCGGCCACCTGTCACGATAATAAATACATGTTCTGTGTACGGAGGTAACTTTTATAGCATACTACTCTGTGCTACAATATTCCAGTGCCGATTCCAGCCGTCATGTCATGTGGAATGAGCGATCGTAATGGTGAAATTAATATCCAGAAATTGTTTTATTATATTTAATCTGGCTGGCGGCGATTTATCGATTATCAATTTGTCAGGTCTTTAAGCACGAACATTTTTGTCGGGTGGCGTATCGCATGTTGTACAACTCGAAACTACATCAAAGTAAAGGTCATAGTTAACTTGCTGGAGGCGGCTGTAGTCGCCATTGTTGACAGTATTGATGATGTAATTGATGGGTTTGTCATTTATAGTACCGATATTAGCAGCAAAAGCTACACATAATTTGTTGTGCGTGTCCCTGGCTCGCTTAGTGAAATGTCCTTTTTAAACAATCTGGCTTATTATATCAGCAGTCCCAAAGCAAAAGAGATCCCAGATAAGTTTAATACGCAATCTTTAAGTATCATTTCTCACGGTGTTTTTCTTATTATGCGTATTTGCGCCCTCAGTTTGATTTTTAACGTCTCAGTCAGCCCTGTGACGGCAGTCTTTTAATGTCTCAGTCAGCCCTGTGACGGCAGTCTGTAAATAATCGAGACTTGACCAGACAATCCAATGACTGACATCATGGGCATCGATCTACGCAACAAGGATACAATGACATGAATCAACCAAGTGGCAAAGTCTCACCATTAGGTACCGTTAAGCGCCTCTTACGACAAGCATGGGTCCCTGAAGATCAATTCTAATGCGGATGTTCATCATGTTTAATGTTGATTGGATGGCATGTACCCCACTTACATTAATATGTCCGAGAAGTGACTTGAGTTGAATTTTTAAACATTTATTCTCCATGGTCTAGGATACTGAGTTCTATACCGATAGCGCAGTCGTGAACTTGTAATGAAACCACCCAGACTTGTAACTGTCATTATCATTGTGGACTGAGAAATGTCAGTCACCGGGTCAAGGTTAAGACACAGCTATTAACTGCGATGCCGCAGTCCATCATTCCGTAGTAGATACTAGGACGGCAGTAGACCATTGGACCCAGTAACGATGTTCATGATAGAAAATATGTAGCCGTCACAACAAACAGAGCCGTAATGGCCTCGTAGAGGTTTGTAGGTCGAGAGATAACGGTGTGATAGTATAGGATGCCTTGGATTGGAGGCAGACCATCGCAGCAGGTGCGCTCTCCAGGACTGGGGTACATGCTCCTGGCAATGTTCATCCCTCAACCTGCCACAGGTGATTGCTCGGAATGGTCATTATCCCATTGAAGGAATGTACTGGGAAGTTGGTAAATTGAAACCATCTTGCTTTCGATGAAAACTGATGACGAACAAAGAAGATCCACTCGTACTTGAAGACAACCTGACACTCTTCACCCCTGGGGGTAAGTTAATGACCGGATCTGCCCTCATTGTTGAGCAGCACATGGCATCACACAAGTTCGCCATGTTCGTATTTCCCAAGGCGTCATGGCGCGAATCTAGGCCTACTCATTGTTTATGGCCGTACGGACGAGGGGAAAGGTTTTACAGAACTCGGTGCACGTGTGTTGATGAGTCTTTAATGTCAAACACGTTGATAAAATATGATGCAGTCATCATACTTATCATGAAGGCGTTTGGGTTTGCACAAATGGCGGGGCAAGTTGTAACGGCCACCGCTAAGGGACCGTTCACAATTTATGGGTGGGGGTGGTGTGTGTGTGTGTGTGTGTGTGTGTGTGTGTGTGTGTGTGTGTGTGTGATGATGATTTTTATGGAGAAGCATGTACAAAGTGAGTGGACCCCCCCTAAAAGTTACATACAAAGTAAGTGACCCCCCTGCATGTCATGTACAAAATCAATGACACCCCCACTCGCCTTCCCATATTTAAGCATAAGTTTTAAATATAGTTATGTACAAAATTGCTGACCCCCTAGTACATGTGTACAAATTGATGACTCCCCTACCTCCCCAGAACAAAATGGGTGAGGACACCCCTACAGGACCCCCACCCCCACCCCTTTAAAATCATCATCACCCCCTAGCCATAAATTATGAACGGTCCCTAATAGAAAAGTTACTTTGAGGCAACCTTTACAGCCTTGTCAATCAAACATGCTTGCAGGCTTGCTTCCCTATGTTACACGGGGCGGCGGGGTAGCCTAATGGTAACAGCATCCGCTCGGCACTCTCTAGACCAGGGTTCGATTCCCCACATGGGTGAAGTGTGTGAAGCCCATTTTTGGTGTCCCCTGCTGTGATATTGCTGGAGTATTGATAAAAGCGGCGTAAAACTCAACTCACTCACTATGTTACACAGGCCACAACGTCATCTGAATCTCCATCATATCCAGGTGTCTCGAAGATTTGCTTTCATATATTTGAAGCTGAACAATTGGTACCACTCACATGTATGTTGTTGGTGTTGCAAAGATATGTAACATGGCTCGTTGAAAGAACAGAACACTGTTCTGTGTTGCAAAGATATGTAACATGGTTCGTTGAAAGAACAGAACACTGTTCTGTGATGCAAAGATATGTAACATGGTTCGTTGAAAGAACAGAACACTGATCTGTGATGCAAAGATATGTAACATGGTTCGTTGAAAGAACAGAACACTGATCTGTGATGCAAAGATATGTAACATGGTTCGTTGAAAGAACAGAACACTGATCTGTGATGCAAGGATATGTAACATGGTTCGTTGAAAGAACAGAACACCATTCTGTGTTGCAAGGATATGTAGCATGGTTCGTTGAAAGAATGGAACACTGTTCTGTGTTGCAAGGATATGTAACATGGTTCGTTGAAAGAACAGAACACTGTTCTGTGTCGCAAAGAAAGCACATGTAAAGGACTGCTCTGTAAGGATATATGATATGCTGCGTTGATTGGACAGAACATGTAAGAATATGCTTTAAAGGGACGTAATCCATGATGTTACGTGAGAGAACGAGATCTGAAATATGGTGAGGGTTTAAGCATGTGACTCGTATGAGGTTGTTTTGAATATGTCTTTAATAAAGTTGGATTAATAGCAATACCCCTCCCCCGACACTCGCACACACATTACACACACATTACACACGCATTACCCCTAATTTCTGGGCTGACTGTGCAACGTGAGCATGCGACACAGCTAATAGGTTTAACCTTCGTCAGTCGCAGATCTGGTTTCCCTTACATGCGCTGACGCTTGGTTGAGTTATAATACGTAATTTACTAGACGGGTCCAAGTCTGGTCATTAGTTTGTATAACTGGTCTGGTCATTGATTGGTCGAAACATGTCACTCTTCTCGGGTGAACAGAACATGCTCTGCTGCTGTATGAGGTCATTCAACCACAATGTGATGGAGCAGTAAGTAAGCTCACGTCAACCCTTGGCAGTGTAAACATTTGGAGTTGGTTTCAACTCATGAGTTCAGTGTACAGCCAGGGTAAAGATCCCGTGACCTACAGGAACCGCCATTAGTCATTACCACGATTGGCGGATCCCCCCCTTGGAAAATGACTTAAGACCACATAGAAGATTTGCTTTACGCGTTGGCGGAGCCAATTGGGGTTCAGGGGTTTTAGCCTGGATCCACCCATGCCTTGACCTTGACCTTAAGCCAAGACGCTAGGTACACTGGCCTGTGTTGAATTATGGTCGGAGTATTGAAAGTAGTGCCTACCTCTGACACGAGTATTCCAGAGATCTTGACTGCAATGGATAACTCGGGGTCCGCGATGGTTTTAAATCTTTGGTCAACCTGTAAAACAGAACATGTAATACAAGATCATACAACACTTAGTTCATATTTTTTGGTTGTTTCCGCCACACTCAGCAATATTCCAGCTATATGGCGGCGGTCTGTAAATAATCGAATCTGGACCAGACTCGTCTGTCTCGCAGTCCCTGAACCATATTATTTTCCCTACAGCCTAGCCCTTCCTGCAATGAAAAAGCCCTAAATGAAGCAAGTCTAGATTTCTCCAGGTCTGAATCTCGGTTCTCTCTGGGGCTCCTTTTCAATTTAAATGGGTTTATTTTCTACAATTCAGAGACTAAGCGTTTAATCTAGGGCCAGACAATCCAGTGATCAACAGTATGAGCAACGATCTACGCAACTGGGATACGATGACATGCATCAACCAAACGTAGTTCCTACTGCTACATGGCGTATTAAGGTAGTAGATAGGGAACCAGTACACCACAGGGGGGTATAATTTAGTACACAATGGTACACAACACTACATTTTAGGAATACTCAATACAAAATGATTCACTCCAGCGTGTAACTATGCTTTGTATGTATATAACCATATCTTGTTTGGGCTGTGTAATCTGAAGGTGTAAAACATTCCCGACAGAGGGCGTGGCACAGTTTGTAATCACCACATACATTATCCAGGGAGGCGGAGGAGAATGTGATGAAAGCTCGCATCATCAGCTGATGAGGTATTAGGCTACCTGGAGGTAGTAGGATCCAAGGTTACGTGTTGACTGGCGACGGATGGACTAACATGACGGACAGTAATTGCCAACAACACAACCAAATGTCAGAAAAAATCGCCCATACTAAACCCAGCTGTGCCTGACGATAAACCCCCCTCTGTGTTTGATAACTTGTCAGAACCCGGATCTCGCCCTGCTATCCATCATCCCGCCAACATCTGCGGAACAGGGGGCTATGAAAAGCTGATTTATAACTTTTTTTTATTTATAATGTATCAAACAAGCAAATTCCATATTCCAACTCAGCAGACTGCGATAGAACAGGTGGACCTCCTTATTATAGGAAACTTTAAGCAACATAAATACTCTGACATCAAGTGATTGCCACCGCACAGAATCAGGAGTTGTCATACATTTTAATTACACGTTTGATTTATTTTTGCAAAATATACACCGAACTTATAAAAACGGATACACTATCTTGTATAAGATCAACACTTCCGTGGCTTTACCGGTTTCCATTACGAATTACATCGTTTTTCAAACCGTCAGTTAAAAAACTTTCGGGACTTGTCATAGTATTGAGAATATATATTTCCGGGGTTTACACCACCCTCTGCATAGCACAGGATAGACGTCATATATTGTAATGTGGATGAGAATATGCTTAATAAACTGGCATTGCGAAATACCTAACGTATCCTCATAATAACTAATCTGACTTAATTACTATGAAAAACATTACAACCAAAACAACCAAAGGCAATTGTGCACATGAACTGAATCCTAAAATGACTTATAGCTTACACGTTGATTGACTGATGAAATGACTCCAGGTTGCCTAACAATGTATAGTTCCGCGTCCTTAAAGGAGGAGGAAGCTTTCAAATGTTTCCACAAATATTAGGGAGATACTGGAAAACAACGACTTCATGGCTGAGTTTAAAGTCACAAAGACTAAGAATAAGTCTACGACCAATGTTCGAAAACAATGTTCTTTAGAATATTAGACCTTTTGGAACAGGTCTATAACCTACACTGTGAGATCGAATACATTTATATACCCCGCTATGCTTGAATCCTATAATACCAGTTTGAACTGTAAGGAACGTACAATACGAAAAACCACCCTGTTAAGGCCATGCTGGACTAACGCTTAGTCCTTGAATACATATGATATTGATAGCAACAAGTTAGCCCATTTAAATAGAAAAAGAGACCCAATGAGTTGGGCGATTCAAAACTGAACCTGGGGAAATCTAGACTTGCTTCATAAAAGGGAGGACAAAGCAGTAGGGGAAATAATGTGGTTTAGGGACGACGGTGCGACAGACTAAGGCCATGCTTTTTATCTTTAAGTACTAGTATTATAGTATATATGTCGTAGTGTAGGAATTAAACATGGCGAGCACCAAAGCTTAGTGCACCATTTTAATTAATATAAACTTGCTGATGTTCAATCCTAATATGCTGGTATTTTAACCATAGTGACAACATACCATGGCGAACACCATCCCATAGTAGCTCCTCAGCATAGCCAGGGCTTCCCGCTGGGTACGAGTCTTCTCCACGTAGTGCTGGTAGATGGCGTTGTCAACCACGACCAACACTTCCACTTTGGCATCCACCTGGTCCACGACGGAGCGTTTCCCACGACGATGTAGTGACGTCACTGTCAGGGACATAATACAAAACAGTAAACATGTCCGTTGCATTGGCTAGTCCTGTTTTGATTCTTGTTCGATGAAAAAGCTCAATTGTGTCTGATGAAAAAGGTTTACATAGACAGAAACAATTCTCCTTATCCCAATGCACAAGCAGTTGGTGAGTGAGAGAGATTTGCGACGTCATTAATACTTGTTAACGTTGGTTGGCTGGTTGTTAACGCAATTGGGATACGATGACATGTGTCAACCAAACCACCGAGTCTGACCACCCGATCCCGTTAGTCGCATCTTACGGCAAGCATGGGTTACTGAAGATCAATTCTAACCCGGATCTTCACTTGATAACGACTGGGGGTTATTTTCATATGGTATTCTTGTGTAATAAGTAAGTGAGCGAGTTTAGTTAACTCCGCTTTCAAGAGACTTTCAGTTATATGACCAGTGTCTGCTAAATGTGGGAGGAGAACCTGGAGTAGTACGAGTATCACACGTTTAGACCTTTCGTGAAACTCACAAGCACAGGCATAGTGCTAACAAACTGGGATTATAGTCGTTGTGAACCGGGAATTGAACCCACACGCACAGATCTCGGTCTACTCAAGGGAGACAACTCTGCATTGCAGACTGTGGTGCCCGACCCGACTACCTCGTGGAAAACCTGGACTTCCATCAGGACAAACTACCGACAGTGCCACCACTGGTCAGACACGTGGCGACACAAACCGCCGCCAAGAATAATTTGGTGTAATCTGCATTCAGTGTTTGAGTCTGTTGGTGTATGTTTGTTTTTCAGTGGTAGGTCTATGACCGAGTAGTCTCGGACGGAAACGAGACTTACATGCAGTGGCGACGTTGTCATCGTCGACGTTGTCGTAAGCCGCATAACTGTCTGAAAAGGCTGGTACATCCGCTGGAGGCTGAAAGACAACGATATACTGCAGACTGGTGAAACAATGGGCAGTGTCCAGGTCATTGGGACACAATGAAACGAAAGTGGGTCAGGTCACAGAACCTACCCGATCTAATTTATTCGCCTCTTACAACTAACGGGGTGGAACTAGTACAACCATGGACCCAAAACGTGTTCGATGTCACACAGAAACATTTAGACAGATTACTGTAAACAACTATCACTGCAAACAGTCAATATGATAAAAAATATCAGGGGATACGGATGGGGAGCTTTTGGGGAGTGCACACTATTGAGAAAAGGAGGGGTGCTCACTTCATTTTCACCCGAGTTTCAATGGTCATTTAACAAACTTTCAGCTCAAAAAGGGGTGTGTGGATCCGCCCATGAAAACACTTTCCTGAAACAATATCCTAAAACAAGACAATTATCTCATCTCACGACTATAGGAATCACATGTCGGCCATTTTTCACAATTTTAGTTTTCTCTTGTTTCTATGACAACAGTGGTTGACGGTTTTAACAGAACACTGCCACTTGTTACCTACATCTTCATCAAATGTTCTTTGCGGGCAAGGTGAAACCGCTGTATAGGAACATGAGTGATAAGCACTTCCGGCTCGGACGTGTAAATCAAACCAGTGTTACCTCATCTGAGAGCACATGGCACCCACAGCAACCTCTACAGCGTGGCTATCTCCATCAAGCGTATCAATCCCTGTCTGGCTATGTAAAACATGCCTTTTGCCTCAGCCATGTTCGCGTGTAAAAATATAATGTTCTGTTTATTGTATTTTATCCATAAGTAGATCAAAAGAGGAGAACAGGCAGTTGTTTTGTTCAGGATTTCAGTATGCATGTATTCAAGTGGTCATTGGTCACGCAATTAGACACCTTCTTATAATCATGAACGTGGTCATAGCCTAAACAGCCCAAGTTCCCTGGCCTGTGTGTCTGCAAGTCTGTGCACACTGCAACCGGAAACGGCCGTGGCGTATATTACAGATGCTCAGACATCACGTGACCTTAATAAAAGCCAGCTTTTGTTGTGTCTGTGTTTCCGCAGTAAGGTCAGACAGACAATACGCCCTGGCGACCGTCAGACGTCTGCGGCAGACGTTACTCCCTGGTGACTGTGGCAGACGACATTCTATTCGTCTAGACGTATCCAGCAGATAATACTATCTGACGTCAAATGACGCCCAGTACTGGAAGGGGCGGCAGATTTGTGTTCGATGTTTGCGTGCGTGTGTGCGTGCGTGCGCAGTAACGCGGAATAGGTTGCTTGGAGTTTGCAAATATAGTTCATCTGTTGATACTTCTGAAGCCAGTGCTTGTTGCCAAATAGCCCATTCCAGACTAATCTGCAGTAAGACATACAGCTCTAGATTCTTCAGTACCCACAATAAACAACCCGAATCGTCGAGACAGTTTAAAAACACACTTAACCAAGCGGCTAACACTTGGTACTGGAAGCAAAGTCATTCTGCATTCGTTGGACTATTTATATAATAAGCAACCAACAATAAACACACAATTCTTGCCAAAAGCATGAAATCTCTTCATGAAAGCGACAATCTTTGGTAAATCACAGACTGCATGGGATATTTTCGTTCACTGACATCGAATTCAATTTTCATAAGTGGTTGCTATTGGATTGAAACTGTTGACCAAGTAGGTTTTAAGTGAGGCAGATATGAAGATGGAACCACGCAACAGACTACCGGCTCGAACTCCACAGACCAAGCTTCCACATCAACCGACGTTGGAACAATTTCCTAAGAGTCAAATGTCGACGCTCTCCAGCCGCCTTGAACAAAGTGGCTCGTGGCAGCTTCAGAAAGCGAGACTCCGACAAATTATTTAAACTGATTGCCCTGTTAATGTACAGGAGATGTCCTGGGTAATCACCTCCAGAATGTATAATTGTTCACAACCATCTGATGCCACTTGACCTCGCGCTGCGCACGCCTCTATATCACCTTGCGCGTGCCTCATAGGCTCTCTCAAACAGTTCGGCTGTCGACACCGCAGAAGCTTCGCCAGAAGGGAGGTTACATCTACTTTGGTGGCCATTTTCAGAGTGACGTCATAATTCGAAACATTCCTTGAGGGTTCTGACTCAGCATGTTCAATCTGCACTACCATTTCGAGTTTGCGCATGTTTCCACTGAGCCTGATGGACGGTCGTCTGCTTCCGGTACGTTGTTGAACGGGAATTACCGTGACCTAGCATGACTAAACTGACCTTTCCGGGTCACGTCTATTGTACTATAAATCTGGTCTTAGCCGGATGTCTGGTCGGAGTGTGGGATATGTTCAATGTGTTTCTCAAATGGAAATACACTTATTTATACACCTATCCCAAATATCAAATAACTCTTTTTGCATAGCAGTCCACTTACACTTTAAAGCTAATGTGTTTGCAGACAGTGTTGATAGTCACGTGACCGGAAGTCACATTTATCATAAACAAAGAACACTGTGACTAGGTACTGACCGTTCTCACACGTCACCACACACTCTACGCCAAGACACGATGTAAAACCCAATTTCACCTCACCTCTACGCCAAGAACATGATCCAATCTATTAATAAGTAATGGAGCATAATTTTGAAAATTGATGTCTTAAAATTAAACACAATCACAATCCGTGTTCCCTCTTCTAAACCAGGCGTGGTCACTGGCCTATGTGTCTAACGACACGTAGAATCTCCATATCCACTTCAATACGAGTAGTCATAGTATGCTAAAACTATCCAGATAACGGACATTTTATCAAATGCGATTAAAGTGTTATCATCACGTCTACTTATTTCTTTGAAAGCGTCAGAACTGATTCCTGACAATCCTCAATGACAAGTACGCTGCTGAAAATTCAAAAACCACAGGGGAAGAGTTGGATACCGGTAAACCAGCACGGCACGGCTTCCTTCTCGACAAGAGGTGCGAGATCTCGTGTGGCACGTGATTCACGCTCACTATCGGAATGACGTAACAGGAACCTATGTGATGATATGTCACCCAAAAACTACATCCAGATAGTTGTGAGTGTTATCACGCCCTCGCTGACGGGATGGGAGGTGGGAATGGCACTCGCACTTCCTAGTAGAATTAAAAACACACGAGACATACTGTGTTAGTTATCCTTGATTTGTAACGTAAAACGTGACGCGTGTGTTAAAGTAAGGTTAGGCGGGCGACATTTCGAAAGGTCTTGTAAACATGGCAGGCATGAGCGCCGCTCGTGTGTTTAACGTCATTGTTATGCCATTAGATATGTCATCACTCGGAGTGGCGATGAGGGAGTTGGCTTAATGAACGGTGAACAATAATTGAGTTCTATCAAAACATGTTAATGTAATAAGGGTGGACGCCATTATGTGACATTCTAGAACTTGGGTGAAAGACGCAAATAAGGGCAGGATTATTGGTTTGTTTGTTTGTTTGTTTGTTTGTTTGTTGGTTGGTTGGTTGGATGGCTGGCTGGCTGGTTGGTTGTTTAACTCCGCACTCAGCAATATTCCAGCTATATGGCAGCGGTTTGTAAATAATCGAGTCTGGAGCAGACAATCCAACAGCATGAGCATCGACCTACGACATGATGACGCCAAAGGTTCCAAGGCTGCAAATCGGAGCGAATAAGCGGATCCTTGCATGTCAAGGGCGGGTAGTATACAGTGACATATATACAACACCCCCAGAACTCCGTTTTCCAATGTGGCTCTCGTTATGAAGACTTGAGCGCAGTTAGACCATGCGGACGTATCTTGAGTATGTGTGCCATTAATTAAACCTCATCCAATACCTGCCACAAAAGCCTCGTTCTCACCTCATTGCTGCTACGTTTCTGTTACAAACTCATAGAAGTTAATAACATTTTGTTGAACTAACGTACTTCGTGGTCGTAACCCAACCATTATTGCCCGTGTTATTTATTGGGTGTGAGATTGCTGGCGTTATCGTAGGGCCTGACGATGGTGCTCGTGGATGTGTAGATGAAGGCCATGTAGCCGAGGCTAGTGTTGATTTCGGCTCTTGAGCCACATATAACCATTGGTGTGCTGATAACATCTGGTGTCTGAGAACCTGGTGAGATTCGGTGCAGCCGATGCCGCATCATGACGGGTCACTGTGATCTATCGTACTGCCAGTTCCCTAGCCTTGCTCCAAGGCTGTACTGAATGATAGTCCAAGGATGTAGAGTAATTCTGTCCTTATAAAAGGCAAGTCTAGCTTAGTAGACAGATAAATTAAGAATGCCATTTTTTAATAGTGACATGTTGTTCCTATTAATATTATTGTTCTTATCTATATAATCTAGAAATGGTAATGTAAACAAATGGTTATTGGGTGAGAGACTTATGCAAGTGTACCATTTCCCGTACAGACTGCTACTTGAGTGTCGCGGCAGCAAATGCGGCGACGTGGCTGGAGGCAAGGAAGTAGCGCGATGCATCAAAGTCGGCTTCGTGGACGTGAACAATCATCGCGACATTAGTTCTATACAGATCTTGTGATAATGGTTAACGGGTTGCTGGGGTACGGTTATACGTCTGTGAATGTTAACAGCAATGGGTTTGTCTGTTGTGTGAGGTAGTAGTAGTAGTAGTAGTAGTTGTAGTACTACTAGTAGTAGTTGTAGTAGTAGTAGTGAGGTGAGGTGAAATTGGGTTTAACGTCGTGCTTGAGAATATTTCGCTCATATGACGACGTGCATGCGTGTGTATGTGTATGTGCGGCTACCAGACTTAAGCTGGTTTCTTAGTGCTAGCTCACTGAGATACCATGCCGCAGTGAAGCATGAATACCCCACTCAGACACAGTATACTGACTCCGAGCCGACCAGTCCTTGTTGTACCCAATAATGCCGAGCGACAGGCAGGGACCAACAAGTACCATATTTTAACGTCTTTTGGTATGACGCGGTCGGGGATCGAACCCGCGACCTTCCGCTCTCCGGGCGGACGCTCTAACCACTACACCACGGAGGCGGTCAGTAGTAGTAGTAGTAGTAGTAGTAGTAGTAGTAGTAGTAGTAGTAGTAGTAGTAGTAGTAGTAGTAGTAGTAGTAATTGTAGCAGTAGTAGTAGTAATAGTAGTGGTAATTGTTGTACTACTACTACTACTACTACTACTACTATCTCAGTAATTGTAGTAGTAAGAATAGATTGCATAGTGTTTGCAACCGTAGTTCATGTATATGTTACGAAACCACTACTTGATTGAGAAAGATGTTATAACTGTCATGTAGTTTTGTTATTCATTGTAAAACTCTGTTGCAATTATACTACATCGTTTCTGTTAAGATTCAGTTTGATAGTGGTGTGTTAGGTACTATATTTGCAACTGGATATTCCAGAGTATTCTGACCCAGCGTGTTACAGAATGTTCCAGTACAGAAACGTCTGGAAGAATATATATAATATATATCACTCTCCTGCCTCTGTCCTGTCACTTTTCACATGAATATTATCGATATAAAAATAGAGTAATTTGTAGCTTTCCTACCGTCATCATCACGTCCCCTTCTTCATAGATGTCGTGGTCGTCGTAGTAATCGTCATCATCATAGCTGACGTCGTTGGGTTCAAAGGGACGCACCTGCAGGCGGTACCTGTTTGCTGACAAATCTGATTTGCTCATGTCAACCAGAGTGTCAAATAGTTCCGAATCGGGGAATTCTTCATAATCAAGTAAATCATGCGTATCGGCACCTGAAAAAATAGTTTATCTGCCTAAATTCAAGTCTAAGTTATATCAAGTTAAAGTCAATTATGTCTTAGATCAAGTGAAAAAAAATCAACTTGAAAAGTGAAAACGCGATTAGCATTGGATGAATATCTGCCCCGTTTACAGTCATATAGCGATGTATTGTGTGAGAAACCCATCAAGCGACGCCTTCAAACCAAGACATCCATTGTCGTGGATCCCGTTAATTACTGTATATTAGATATTAAGCTGTCAACATGGGATGTCGCCAGAAGTCCCGACGAACGCTTCAGCAGGATTGAACAATATAGTCTAGCGACCGCCCCAGACAGGTACAACCGCCACCCATATAATCACATTACCTGTGCTCCAAATGAGGAAAAAACGCTGGAGTAGTAGACATTGTAAGTATCTTGGTGTGTTAATATACACCCTGTACCTTCTCTGGTGGTGTTTGAAGAATACAGGTTTATATCTAATAACAGTGTTAATGTCCATCCATTTCATATTTTAAAACGTGTCTCCTTTTTGTACATATTCTTACATACTCCCTGTCAGTAGTACTTTACTCGACTGTACCCACGGGGTCAGTGCGCCCTTATATAATATCAATCGTGTTTAAATTTCCACTTTCCTCTCTCGTGAATGGGGACTTGTGTAACAAAATGTTTGAATAGAATGATGCTGAATCAGCCGTTTAATGATACAATCAGGCTCTGTATGTTGGAGTACTTGATGGCCCAACTCCCCATCTCGATACTCAGTAACAGCTCCACTGACTTCTATGTCTCTAAGGCAATACTTTGATCACACGCACAACGCGTAGCAAGTGTAAAATAAACTGACCAAATTCATTAACAAGAATAATGAATGAAATTACAAATATATTTCCTAACTTTCCATAGTTTTTAGTTTTCTAATTTAGATAAATTTGTACAATGAGAAGTCTTACCTGGTTTAAGTAGAATAAGTCCGGTCACACAATGTGTTATCATAAGAGACGCAATAAGCAGAGCTGGAAGGGATCCCATTGTGGTCAGAGAATGTCCGAAGCGCAACGTGCCTTGAGCGTGTGTGTATATGGTGAAGTAAAGCGGGTTTCGAGGCAGAGATATAGCAGAGTCCTCTATACTGTCGGTGACAAACTACTGAGGCTGAGGGGAAGCTCTCATATTTATACACCATTCATGTAATGGTTTAATTGGCAGTTTGATATGTTTTCGCTTGATAACGAAAATTCGATAAGTAATCGATTATGTAGGATAATGTTGACACACAAGGAATGGTATTGGTTGCGCGAGGACACGCCCCATGTGAAAAGTTTCCGGAAAACTCGTCGCGGGGGGCCGGGCTTCATGACGTCACGTTCTTTGGGGGCGCAGCTTGTTTACACCTGTACTAGTGGGCTCAGGCTATAAACCTTGATAGAAACAAAAGTGACGTGCCATTTCTTCAGAAACTGACCTAGTTTCTTTGATCTGCTATAAGGCTCATCTTGCCGCTAAATGAACTTCCTCATTAATATCCCCGTCGGAGTGTCAGATGCTCTCAGTCCGGGCGAAGTGGTTGGCCGTGAGATATACGCTGGTTCCCCCCATAACATTCCGCTGTACTGTAGCAAGCACTCGAGTCTGAGTGGTGCGTTACTGGGGGTTGTGTCGGTGCGTCTAGCGTCTACCGGCGTTAAACAAGAGCAAGGGGTTTACGTCTTCAGCCTGTACGCTTATTATTACAACACCTCCACAATCTCACTGTAAAAATATAGCGAAATGGCTGTCGTTTTTGTCTAGATAATGGCACTTATTTGACCGCTTGCATCTTCCCAAAGTTCTACCAAACCCAAAGGTAAACTCGATGGCAATCTTGATAAAGAGACAGTTTTAGACTCAATTCAGCACCAATGGTGATCTGCCACCGGTTTGATAAACCTTGCATACCTACCTGTAGTAAGTGGGTACAGATGGGTGTCGGTGGATGGGGTTATTACAAGGTTTGGTACAACTCACCTGCCTCGGTACGGAGGCTGACCTGCCAGATCTCCGTGGACGTTCTCATTGAGATGCACCGATTCGCGTCTCAATCAAGTACATCATTAATCTGAAAGAATCACACCTGTCATCTAATGCTAGCAATCTCGTCTAATTCAGGTACAGGGAATCACTTGAACTTCAACAAGAACTTGAACTGCATCACACTCGAGTCACCATCTGTACCCAGCCAGTGTATGTACGGTGTGTATTTACTGTACCCATCTACCACGTATAATCTGTGATGAACTCCTGACCCTGTAACCAGGTAGATACTACAGTCCCTAGTAACGTGACAGAACAGAGTGACACCTGTACTCAGGTAGATACTACAGTCCCTAGTAACGTGACAGAACAGAGTGACACCTGTACTCAGGTAGATACTACAACAACTACTGACGTGACAGAACAGAGTGACACCTGTACTCGGGTAGATACTACAGCCACTAGTAACGTGACAGAACAGAGTGACACCTGTACTCAGGTAGATACTACAGTCCCTAGTAACGTGACAGAACAGAGTGACACCTGTACTCAGGTAGATACTACAGCCACTAGTGACGTGACAGAACAGAGAGACACCTGTACTCAGGTAGATACTACAGCCACTATTAACGTGACAGAACAGAGTGACACCTGTACTCAGGTAGATACTACAGCCACTAGTGACGTGACAGAACAGAGTGACACCTGTACTCAGGTAGATACTACAGCCACAAGTAACGTGACAAAACTGAGTGACACCTGTACTCGGGTAGATACTGCAGCCACAAGTAACGTGACAGAACAGAGTGACACCTGTACACAGGTAGATACTACAGCCACAAGTAACGTGACAAAACAGAGTGACACCTGTACTCAGGTAGATACTACAGCCACAAGTAACGTGACAGAACTGATTGGCACCTGTACTCAAGTAGATACTACAGCCCCTAGTGACGTGACAGAACAGAATTACTGAAGTAGGTAATACACCTCAGATAAGCTCATAGGTAAATACGACAGACTCTAGTAACGGGCAGAACAGAGTGATACCTGTACTCAGGTAGATACTACAACCACAAGTAACGTGACAAAACAGAGTGACACCTGTACTCAGGTAGATACTACATCCACAGGTAACGTGACAGAACTGAGTGACACCTGTACTCAGGTAGATACTACAGCCACTAGTGACGTGACAGAACAGAGTGACACCTGTACACAGGTAGATACTACAGCCACAAGTAACGTGACAAAACAGAGTGACACCTGTACTCAGGTAGATACTACAGCCACAAGTAACGTGACAGAACTGATTGGCACCTGTACTCAAGTAGATACTACAGCCCCTAGTGACGTGACAGAACAGAATTACTGAAGTAGGTAATACACCTCAGATAAGCTCATAGGTAAATACGACAGACTCTAGGAACGGGCAGAACAGAGTGATACCTGTTAGACAGTCTTTTACACTTATGTGACACGATTCCTGGGAAAGATAAAGACGGCAACAATGCGTACAACGTGAACACTTTGTGCTTACAATGGCGAGTCAAATGTGAAACTATGATATGATGATTGTTCTGATACCGCCATGTTTATGTTAAATGACCTCGACCACGGCTCGTGTGGTCACTGACTTGGCACATCCGGTGGCAGGGTGGAGGAAGATTCCTCACGACACCCCGGACACAGGAAAGGGAAATGGTAACTGTAGTCATTCCAGCAATCACTGAGAGATCCACCGTATGAAGTAGCATTTCCCCCACCCACCTACACCGCAGCGTCTTCCTGTTACACCCCACATCCCAGAGCAAGCCCAAACACTTCGCCATCCCACACCCTACGTCCTCAGTCAAACAGCTTATGGACTCACGCAACCTGTCTTATCAACCAGTACCCCTACCCATGTCTCCTCCACAGCCAATAAACAAACCCCGAACCTAAACACCCAAGTCACTTCCACAACAAATATAAAAACACCGATCCTAAACACCCAAGTCACTTCCACAACAAATATCATAACACCTACTCTAAACACCCCGTCACCTCCACGCCCAATACCATAACACCTACCCTAGACACCCCGTCACCTACACGCCCAATATCATAGCATCTACCCTAGACACCCCGTCACCTACACGCCCAATATCATAGCATCTACCCTAAACACCCCGTCACCTCCATACCATAACACCTACCCTAGACACCCCATCATCTCCACGCCCAATATCATAGCATCTACCCTAAACACCCCACCACCTCCATACCATGACATCTACCCGAAACACCGTCACCGCCACACCCAATCCCATAACACCTACCCTAAACACCGCGTCACCTCCACACCAATACCATGACACCTCCCCTAAACACCCCGTCACCCCCACACCAATACCATAACACCTACCCTAAACACCGCGTCACCTCCACGCCCAATACCATAACACCTACCCTAAACACCGCGTCACCTCCACGCCAATACCATAACACCTACTCCTAAACACTGCGTCACTCCACGCCCAATACCATAACACCTACCCTAAACACCGCGTCACCTCCACGCCCAATACCATAACACCTACCCTAAACACCGCGTCACCTCCACGCCCAATACCATAACACCTACCCTAAACACCGCGTCACCTCCACGCCCAATACCATAACACCTACCCTAAACACCCCGTCACCCCCACACCAATACCATGACACCTCCCCTAAACACCCCGTCAACCCCACACCAATACCATGACACCTCCCCTAGACAACCCATCCCCTCCACACCAATACCATAACACCTACCCTAAACACCCCGTCACCCCCACACCAATACCATAACACCTACCCTAAACACCCCGTCACCTCCATACCATAACACCTACCCTAGACACCCCATCATCTCCACGCCCAATATCATAGCATCTACCCTAAACACCCCATCACCTCCATACCATGACATCTACCCGAAACACCGTCACCGCCACACCCAATCCCATAACACCTACCCTAAACACCGCGTCACCTCCACACCAATACCATGACACCTCCCCTAAACACCGCGTCACCTCCACACCAATACCATGACACCTACCCTAAACACCCCGTCACCCCCACACCAATACCATGACACCTCCCCTAGACAACCCATCCCCTCCACACCAATACCATAACACCTACCCTAAACACCCCGTCACCCCCACACCAATACCATGACACCTCCCCTAGACAACCCATCCCCTCCACACCAATACCATAACACCTACCCTAAACACCGCGTCACCTCCACACCAATACCATGACACCTCCCCTAGATTCCCCGTCCCCTCCCCACCAATACCATGACACCTACGCTAGACACCCCGTCACCTCCACGCCCAATACCATGACACCTACCCTAAACACCCTGTCACCTCCACACCAATACCATAATACCTACCCTAAACACCCCGTCACCTCCATACGATAACACCTACCCTAAACACCCCCCAATATCATAGCATCTACCCTAAGCATCCCGTCACCTCCATACGATAACACCTACCCTAAACACCCCGTCACCTCCACACGTAATACCGTGACACCTACCCTAGACACCCCGTCACCTACACGCCCAATACAAAGATTCTCACTCTTATCACCCATTAACCACAAACTCTATCCACCATATTCTTCTCACAGACTACAGAGACACCCCGTCCTCTCAACACCAATACATGACACCTACCCTACACACCCCGTCCCCTCCACAAACCTAATACCATGGCACCTCCCCTAAACACCCCGTCATCTCCACGCCCAATACCATGACACCTACCCTAGACACCCCGTCACCTCCACGCCCAATTCCATGACACCTACCCTAAACACCCCATCGCCTCCACAAACCCAATACCATGACACCTACCCTAGACACCCCGTCACCTCCACACCCAATACCCATGACACCTACCCCAAACCCAATACCATGACACCGACTCTAAACAAGCCGTTACCTCCACGCCCAATACCATGACACCTACCCTAGACACCCCGTCACCTCCGTGCCCAATTCCATGACACCTACCCTAAACACCCTGTCACCTCCACACCCAATACAAAGATTCTCACTCTTATCACCCAGTCACCCCAAACTCAACCCACCATATTCTTCTCACAGACTACAGAAACGTTACCTAAACCACCCTTCGCACACCACACCCTACGTTATCGCCAAGCCATATGCACACGCACGCACGCACGCAAGCACTACTCCTAGTTTTCTTAATTCAATCTACTTCCCTGATCAGATATCGCTTCTCTCTTTGGTGCGGCCTGAAACATAGTAATTGGTATAAATATAATAATTTAATTGAGACACAATTCTCATAATAGTAACTAAGGATGAGGCAAACACTTAACGTGTTTTTATTTATGTATTAGCGGGAAAACGGACGAACCTTCTCTTTCCGGAAGAAGTGGAAGGAAATCTTTAACGATGTAACACGTTCCATGCTGATTGTACAACCACAAGAATGCGACTCAGTGTCGGTACCTTCACAGATTTGCGTAGTGACAGGTCCATAGGCGTGGTGCTTTTGTGTAACACGTCAACGAGGCTTTGAGAAATTGAGAGAGGGCAAAAT